TATGAGCTAGGCTCACAGCACTCACACCACAGCACTCACTCTAGCCTGGGCAACAAAGTTAGACTCTGTCTCAAAATAATAATAATATAAATAAATAAATAAAATGAAATTCTGACAATATATTCCCAAGTAATAGTAATAAAGAATAATAAAAGTCTCTTTTGATATTTTTAGATTTTTGGGGAGGAAGGGGAACAAGATTCAGCTTATTGTGACCTTTACCTGCATCAGTAAATAACAAATAGCATCATTTCAGGTTTATGTCATTTTATCATTTGTACATACTCTTTTTGTAGTCTGAGCTATGGAGTCAAATTCATGTAAATGCCTTATAAAGTATAGGCTTTTCATATATATTTCATGAATGGCTTTGTAGGGTTTAGAGTAAGAAAACAGTGATTATTAGGAATGAGTATGAGTTTCTTAAGAGTAAGTCTTGAAAAATTTACTACTTATAAGACTGATAAATTTGAATTCTGTAATTCCACAAACAAGGTGCCATTCTGTGATCTTCCCGTTGAACAAAAGGAGAACTATGGTACTTAAGACAATCAAACGAATCAGACTATTAGATGTCTTGTAGCTCCAACGTTTTTAAAATCTAGGATCCTAATAAATCTGGGTCCCCAGGTTATCACAGGAATATGTCCTCGATTTTCTCTTAATCAACCTTGTTATTAACTTGAATAAAGATATAATCATATTAATCAAAGTTACAGATGACAGATGATACAGAAATAACAATGTTGAATGTCAGATTTAATTTTTGAAATAATCTCAACTAGCTAGAAGAACTTGTTCTTTATGGTAACCCCAGGGCATAGCAAAAAGAATGCCACATGGCAGACCTCAAAAAGTATTTGTTGAAAGAATGAATGAATAAAATGAAATGATGGTTCAAAATTAATGAGGTGAAATTTATCAAATAAAATTAATTTGTTCAGGTACAAAAGAGACTAAACCTAATTTCATAGCAATTTAGACAAATACAAGCCAGATACAGTTCATTACTGGCTCAATTTAAACCAAGAGTCCAACTAACAGATAAATATCTAGTAAAATTAATCTCACTGTCATATGCTCCAGTCAGATTATGTGTAAAATACTAAATTTCTTCTGAGCATCACTTTCTAAAACTGAGATTGGCAAACTAGAGTTCAACAACTTCATTCTGATTGGGTAGCCAGAATATTAAAAGATCCCGAAATCTTGCCATGAGAATTGAAGTATCTGGATGTTTATTTTGGAAAAAGAAAACAGGAAGGACATGCTTCTGATATTTGGAGAGCTGTCATGGGAAAGATATATTAGAGTCATTCTGTTTACCACCCAAGAAAACATAAGGAAGCTACAGGGAAACAGATCTTGCTATAGTAGTGTAAGGAAGGGATTTTTAACAGTTAGATCTGTCCAAAAACAGATTCATCTACCTTGCAAAGAAAAAAAACACTTCATCACTTTAAGGGTTCAAGCAAAAACTAAATAATCTTCAGAGAAATTATTCCTGTGTTAGGTAAGACATTAGCATAGATAATTTGAAGAGCCTTTCCTGGCCTAATATTTTATGACTCTATGATTCTATGATCCCTGAGGATCTTGCTGCCTTCCTCTTCAACACTATCATAATCTTTCTTTTCATTAATTTATCTTCTTCCAACTTAATACCTGATTAGGTCTACCTTTGTTCTAAGCTTCCATTATTCTTAGTTGTTCATGAGCTAGTCCTTCTGCAATGTTAATTTTATGTGTCAGTTAGCCTGAGATAAAGGATACCCAAATAGCTGGTAAAATATTATTTCTGGTTATGTTTGTGAAGGTGTTTCCAGAAGAGATTAGCATTTGAATTGGTAGACTGAGTAAAAAAGATGCCCTCCCCAATGCAGGTGGACATCATCCAACCTCTTAATGCCTCAATGGAACAAAGAGCAAGAGGAAGCTTGAATTTACTTCTGCTTGAGCTTGGACATCCATCCTCTGCCCTGGGACATCAGCATTCTTGGTTCTCGGGCCTTCGGACTTGGACTGAGATTTACACCATCAGCTCCCTTGGTTCTCAGACATTCAAACTCAGACTAAATTCTACCACCAGCTTCTATGATTCTCCAGCTTACAGATCATGGGACTTCTTAGCCTCCATAATCACATGAGCCAATTACTATAAATAAGCACTCTCCCTTTCTATCTCTCTATGTATATGTGTGTGTATATATGTGTGTGTATGTGCATATAAAATCTCCTGTTCTGTTTCTCTAGAGAATCCTGATTAATATGTCTTCTTTACATTCCTACAATCTGACTTCTATGGCAACAATGACAGGAAAAAAATCCCATCTTAAAATTCACAATCTCTCTGCTATAATAGCCAGTGGTCCTGCATTTATTTCATTCTCGTTACTCTGTAGAAATAATGTTAAATATTTCTTCTTTTATACTCTCTTGCTTCTCTGATTACTTTTATCCTTTTCAATGGCCTTTCCACCCCATGAATCATCATATTTTCCTAAGGCATTGATACCTTCTAAATATAGGTTTTCACTACCATTTTTGATGATGAGATTAGAGGAATTCTAAATCTTTAACTACAATAGGATAATATCAGTGATGTAATTAACACTATGCCTTTGTAATTTCCCTATATAACAAATAGTAAATACTGATTTGTTTGATAATACCCATTTGCAGTTGTTTCATATTTTCCTGGTTAAGCTGAGGAAATTACTTCAAATTCTACTGGTTTATTTTCCTAGTGAACAAGAAGAAATGCTGCAAATTTTATTTTTTAAAAAGCTTATCTTGGAGGAACTTTAGAGGATCACATTTGATATCATATCAGTGAAGCCATAAATACACATTGCAGATGTTTAAATATTTTATTACCCTTCATATTTAAAAACGAGTCTGAGAATTGTGTCACAAATCATGCCGTAGTATAGCTGAAGACACCATCGGTCCTTTTCACATCATCTATATATCAAAATTCAACTTAACTTTGTAGGCACAACTGCAGCTTTTAGGACATTTTGTAGAGAATGGAAGCTCTAGTTCCCAAGTCTACACAAAGCTTATTCTTCAAAGGAATCTCCCAATTATTATTAAATAGCCACTTGGGTTTTTTATTAATACCATTATACTAGTCACATACTATATTGCTTAAAGTTCCTCTACTATGTCAGATATTGGCCGCCACGGGAATATCTCCCACTCAGATGCTTATTAGTCATTCAAAATAACTGAAAGCGCAGTTGCAGTATGTGGTTGCTAGGTGGAGATAGTTAGTTCAAGTCACATGACCTCAGAGTCTGAACAATGTGCATCTTTATCAAAGGTCTAGACCGGAGCTGTACAGTAAGATTTTCTGCAAAGATGCAAATGCTTTTCGATACTGTCCCATATGATAGCCCCAAGCCACATGTGACTGTTGAGCACTTGAAACGTACCTAGCGCAGCTGATGGAATAAATTTTCAATTTTATTTAATCTTAATTAATTTAAACTTAGGTTCATATGGCTAATGACTACAATACTGAACAGAGCAGGTCTATTCTCTAGAAAATATAACCATGAATTATTCTTATGGTTTCCTTGTTAGGAATAAATGTAAATGTTAATAACATTAGCATGGTGCTATCGTACCAAAGTATAATGCTCCACCAAAACATTTACACTGACTTATTCATATAACAAACGTTCATAAAATATAGCAGGTACTATGTACCAGTTGTCATGCTAAATGCTGAGGAGCTTTTAGGAGTTCCTGTAGGAGCTCAGAGATTATTGAGAGATGCAATAAATAACTAAATAAATTACAATATAATTTTACTTGCTATTAGGGTCATCTGAATAAAAAATTGTGGGAACACAGCATATACAATAACTGTAGGAGTTAAAAAGGTGTATTGAATACTTCTATTCATTTCATGGCACACCATGAAAGAATAAGTTGCAAAATAATAGGGAGGGAAAGGGAAGCAAGGAAGTAGACAGGCATTACAGAAAAGACACGGAGTCATCTTTCAAGTTAGCTCTGACTTTCTGGTGTTTCACCTCTTGGTCTAGTGTTAGCTTTTAGGTTGCTCTTGGGTGGCAGTCTTAGTGACAGGTTTTATGACTAAGTTTTCTGCATCTTAAATAAAACTGAGAACTTTAATAGGCAAACACATTTGAGTTACCTAGAATAATATTAATATAATTAGATGGGAAATGAAATGAAATAACCCCCCTTTACCAACACTATCAATATGGTATATGATTAGAAGAAATATTTTTTCAAAAATGAGTTAAGTATAAAAGTAAATGGGAAAGAAAAAAGGTACTCCAGAGTAAATATCTACTCTTCACTGATCTCAATGTGGGGAAGAATAATGTTCCCTTTGCTTTCCCCATGTCATTTGTAGCCATGTACGCTTATTACCTTGTGTTTATATTTCATTATTTCATGGAGGTAATCTTCCCCGTAAGAAAAATAGGAAAGGCTCTAGAACACGTGAAAGGAATTCCACAGCCTTTATAATTCCCGAATTTAGTCATTTTGTAAAAAAGGGGGGAGGTAGTAATTACCTTCAGTAGTGTTCCCCACGAGTCTCCCAAAAAGAACATCGTTCTGGGCCCATGTAAAATTTAGCACGATTCCCTATAGAAAGGGGACTACTCAAAGTTAATAATAGCTAGAGAAGAAAGGATGCTAGTTGCAGGCACAGGTGTATCTTGTCTCCGCCCCCGTCCCCAAAATAACTGGAGAATAGAAAAGTGGTTAATTTGATTATTACCCCGGGGAAACATAAGGCATAATGCAAACAACGATCTGAAGTAAGACTTTACTCAGTCGGCACTTCCTCTCCTTCATCCCGCCTGCAGCCCCTCAGGAGCCCCGGAACCGCCCTCTTAGGCACCCCCACCCCGCTAGCCTCACTAGGGAATGGGCTGCTGCGCGGGTGGGCGGGGCTGCGGCACTTAACCGCGCGTTTGGTATCTGCGTCGGGGGCGGAGTCTCTTGTCCCTCTGCGCTGCCCGTCCAGCCTCTCCTCCCCTCCCGCCGCCTTTGGGCTGACGTGTCTGCAGTTCCTCCGCGTCTCCGCGAGTCGGGCCGAGATGGCGGACGCCTGGGAAGAGATCAGGCGGTTGGCTGCCGATTTCCAGCGGGCTCAGTTCGCCGAGGCCACTCAGAGGTGCCCGACCCGACCCTCCCTTTGCGGAGCCCAGATTAGGCCTTGGGCGGAGACGCCGGGATCCGGGACCTTAGATCCCTGGCCCTTCTCAGTCCCTGTCACCGTTCCCACATCCTCCCTCTGCCCCGAACCTGGATCGCAGTTCCGAGTCCAGGTCTTGGCGGGGAAGCCCGCATCCTGTGACCCCCCCAGAGCCCCCATCCCAGCCCCAGCTTGGTGCTGGCGCTCCCCACCCGGACCATGGCGGTGCTGGTGACTCCAGGCTGTCTTTGTTGAGTGTATTGAGTGTTCCTGTGATCCTTCCTCGTCCACCGGCCACGAAATCACTGTGGCATTTTGTCTGTTATACACTTCCTGACCTAGAATGAGCTTGAAAGGAGAAACTAACCCCGAAATACAGTACTTTGCAAATAGTATGTTGACCCTTTAAAATTTTTTGCCTTTTTGTCTACCATAACAGAACCCCATCTGTCATTTTTAGGCCTTTGGGTCACTGACATTTTTTACAAACCCATTAACCTTAGGCGGGGGTGTGTCTGGAGGACCCTAACTCGACTTTTTAATATTACAGAACATATATATAATATTAATAGAAGCCTTTTTATCCGTTAACTATTCCTTACCTGTTTTATTCCTTTTGGGCTGAAAACAGCAGTCCCTTGAACTGTATTTTGTAGCACTGATGGCAAACTAGGGCACAGTAAGTGCGTGGGTAACTAACAGTAGCTGTTCTGATTTTACTAGGCCAGATCCCCTGCCTGCTTCCAGACTAAGTGTATGAGTGAGGCAATTATGTACTTAATTTAAAAGAAAATTCTGATTAAACTGGAAATTGAAGTAAAAGTAAGGCAGTTTTTTTTTTTTTTTCCCTACCTAAATAATATGTCCTTAATTTTCTATTCAGATTGGGAACAGGCCTAGAGGAGACACCAAACTTGATATTTGTAATAGAGTGATATATATCAATTAAGTAAATGATTTAAGTGTATGCAAACCTGCTTACTCAAGAGATTTTTAACTTAATATTGTTATACTAATGAAAAATAAAGATTTTGTAAGGTAGAAATTAGTGACTCTTAAACTTTTTAAAAGTCTGTTTTCATAAGTTGTGTCAATTTTATTGAGCACTGGTGTGTCAAGTACAGTTTTAAACTTAACTCTTCTTCTTTCCCTCAGGTTGTCAGAGCGGAACTGCATTGAGATTGTGAATAAATTGATTACTCAGAAACAGCTAGAAGTAGTTCACACACTTGATGGAAAGGAATATATTACTCCAGCCCAAATTAGTAAAGAAATGAGAGATGAGCTACATGTCCGAGGTGGTAGGTGATGCTTTAGTGTTTTTCTATCGGATTTTTGGAAGAAGAAAAGAAATAATAATACCTTAAAACCATAACTAATAAATTATTTACAGGTTATAAGACATCCTTTTCAATTGTTAATTTGATAATCAGCATTAATACCTTTACTAGGCTTATGTAAACATGATCATATAATTAAATGAACTCAAATATCACTTTACAAAAATAGCGATGTTTTTATACATTCTTGAGTTGGTGATGTAGCCAAATGTGAGTATTGAAGTGTTTGCCAGGTTCACTGTAACTTTATCACGATGATCAGGTGAAGGGGCATCCACTGCCTATAAGCCGCCTGCAGGTAGCGTTGTGATGTAGGAAGACAGATTTTAAAGGATTATAGATTTTTTTTTTTAATTTTAGTGATAATTATAGGGGTACAACGGTGTTAAGGTTAGCAGATATATTGCCTATGTGTCCCTCCCCGTTGAGTAGATGCTTCAAAGCGTGTTCCATTCCCAAATTTGGCACATTGTTACTCAATTTAGGTGTGTATATTATCCCTCCTATCTCCCCGTCCACCCCCTGGACTCGCGATCAGACAGTTTACTACTAGATGTCCACTTATATGTTGATGCCGTTAATACCATTTGCTGGTGAGTAAATGTGGTCGTGTGGTTTCCCATTCATTGAGGATACTGCATTCAGTAGAATGGTTCCAGCTGGTATCCAGAATAGATGAGGAGTGAGATATCACACATCTTGTTTCGTTTAAGAGCCGGAGGTAGTACGGTCCTATAGGGTATCAAATGATTACACATGGCCTATTATTATACACTTGGATTAATTGGCATGGCACTGGTGTGTCCACAGCCTGCAGTTCCGTGAATTTGTGCGTTTCCACAGCTTTGCGCGCCTGTGCTGCAGGCTATCTTGTACTTCAGTAAAGTGGCAAAGACTTTTGATCTGTTTGGGGTACGATGCGCAGGTAGTGTGGAATTGCTGGTCAACATGGTAGATGCTATTGTATTCTTTTCGTGGTGTCCTCATATGTTTCACAAGAGGTTGGACTGGTTTGCAGTCGGCGCACAGCTCGAGTGTGTAGGAGTGTTCCTCTCATCTCCATCACGCCGACTTTGTGTTTAGGGACTTTTTGATAAACCGGCCAGTTCTCACTGGAGTTAAGTGATATCGTCATTGTGTGGTTTTGATTTGCATTTCCTGATGATTAGAGATCTCAGCATTCTTTTAGATTGTGTGGCGCATGGATATTGTCTTCTTTTTGAGAAGTTTGCTGCTTCTGTCCGGGTTTGCCCGATTCTTTGATCAGGTTGTGTGATTTTTTTTGCTAATTTTTTTTTTTTTTCCTGAGTTCCCAAAATAGATTCTAGTTATCAGAGGCCCCGCCCCGCGACCCCTGTGTTTTCCGTAGTAATCAAATGTATAATCTTGCAAAATTTCTCCCATCTGTGGTGTGTCTGTTGCTCATTGACAGTTTTCTTGGCTGTGAGAAGCTTTTAATTTGAGAGTTGCTTTGTTTATTTTTGTTGCTGGCTTGTGATTGCCTTTGGGGGTCGTGTCTTATAAATTCTTTGCCCTAGGCAACCTTGCTAGGAGAGCGCTATTTGAACTATTTCCTCCGTAGAAGTTCTACATAGTTTGACACTAGAGGTTCACATCAGCCATTACCTGTAAATGAGTTGGTTTTTCGTGAGAATGTGAAAGGGTGTGCGGTCTTGTTTCAGTCTTCTGCATTGTGGCGTATCCCAGTTGTTTTCCCAGAGCCATATATTGAAAATAGGATTTTTCGAGTAGTATGTTTTGTTGCGTTGTGAGAATTATTGGCTTATAATGAGGATTGGTTTTACGTATTTGGGTTTCTGCTTCTGTTACACTGCCGTCAGATGTCGCCTTTCTTGTGCGGTCAAAAGCCGTGTTTAATGCGCCGCCCATATACGTCTTCGAGTGTAGTTTGAGACCGTCTGGTAAAGTTGTAGCCTCTATTTGTTCTCTTACTGCGCAGTAGGATTGGGAGTTTGCTCGATGTACGGGTCTTCTCTGGTTCCATGACGAGCGTAAAAATGTATCTTTGGTCTTTACTGTGAAGCACGCCAGTGCTTTCTTAAAAACAGTACTCTTTCTAGGCGGGCGCGGTGGCTCGCGCTTGTAATCCTAGCACTTCTTGCCGAGCCGAGCGCGGCGGAGCGTCAACGGTAGGAGTTCAAACACCAGGCCTGAGCGCGAGGACCGTCTTACAGACAATAGAAAAGAAATTTAATGACAACCCTAACACAATGACCTACTATTCAAAATCTACACGATCCCGACGGTGGCCATGCGCTGTAGTCCTAGCGTACCTCGGGAACGTGACCGGCCAGTAGGATCGCTGATGCCAGGAGTTGGAGGTTGCCCCCCTGGTGAAGCCAGGCTGACGCACGGCATCCTCTAGCCTGGCGCGCAAACAAAGTGAGTCAGTGTTCAAAGAAAACAGACAAAAAACAAAGTATTTTTTACAGTATTTGCATAGATTACCGGGTAACTCCCACTTCCAGTTATGGGTCTTACCGATCCAGTTGCGTATTTTACGAAAATACTGGATTACAAGACAACAAAAAAGTTGTTTTCCTTTGCCTTTTTAAAATTTGAACACTTAATTGAATAGAAGCAACTATGAAAGCAACTCTTAATTAGATGTTATCAGAGTATAACTTTGGTGTTTGTCTTATTTTTTTATCTTCCTGCATAGTACTAATAAAGTATGAGCTATACTTTGAAATGCATAACAGATTTTCTTTTGCTGATAGGTAGAAACTTACCTTTCAATTTCAAATAATTGAAAAAAGTTCATCTTAATTTTGTTGTCAATATCTGTGGTCACAATGGATAAATTCTGAGTTGTGAAGGGAAATTAATACCCTTCATAGATCTAGCCAACTTATGTGTCACTTGATGCTCATAATAAGCCTGATGTGGGGATTTGGGGGAGAACTTTGAAAATAAATTGTTGCCTATGGCTTCAGCCATGAAGACTTACTCAGTTAATGGTTTGTATTTGAAGACTTTAATTATTGTGGCTCTATGTTCTTTGCACAAGGACTTTGTCCAAAATTTAAATCTGTTAGAATTTACAGTTTTGGATTGTTGTGCATGCACAGGTTATTTAAAATAAATGAATATCTTTTCTTTAAAGGTCGAGTAAACATTGTTGATCTGCAACAGGTAAATTTTAAATTTATAAAACTTTTGTTTTGATTTCTTGATTTTTTTGATACTATAAATTTGTTCAGTGCCTTAAAAAGTATTTACTAATACTGGTATCATATTTTATATGATGTTTGGGAAAAAATAGTTGTATCCTCACTGATACATTAAATCAATTTAATAAGCTCCAATATATTTAAATGATTTAGTAAGTTCTTCTTTCTCAGTTGACTTGCTTATTCTTTATTCCTTTCCAAATAAACACATAGTTATTTTATATAATTATGTGGTTTTTATAATTTGGAAAGAAAAATCATTAGAGTTTCATGTTCACATGTTTTTAGTATGTGGAACAGAGAAATATAAAAAAGAGTAGAAGATATTTTCAAAAAACATAACTGCACGTCATTGCCAAGGTACACTGTATACAAGAAGCTGGCAAGTTTTTTGTGAAATGGTGTTCATTATATGAATATGTAATTTATTGCTTAATATAAAGTTTCCTAGCAAGTGAAAGTATAATTCTTCAGAACTAAAAGTAAATAAGCAATAAGCCTCTAATTTTTTATTTGACCAAGGCTTTTTATAATATTTCCAATCAATTCAAAATTTAAGAATAAGTAATTTCTTAAATAATATAGTTTTAAATGTATAATTTCAAGCTTAAGAAACAATACAAATCTATTGCTAATCGAATTTGTATGTATTTTCCAGGTAATTAATGTGGACCTGACTCATATTGAAAATAGAATTGGTGACATTGTTAAATCAGAAAAGCATGTTCAGTTAGTGCTGGGACAACTGATAGATGAGTAAGTGCAAAATTTGGGAGCACTTTGTTGGTTTTTTTTTTAATAGTATTGAAATTTAAGCTAATATGTCCAGTTAGGCATTTCATTTATAAATTGTTTTCTATTTTTCTTGTTTATTTTTTTTAATTTTTAGAACTCTTACAGTGCTTATTTTCATTATAAGGATTATTCTACTTAAAAAGAAAGTGCTTAATTGTGTGGAATACTTGGAAAAAATATAAACTTTGAATTTTTTCCCTATTAAAGCAATAGAAAACATTAACTTTTCTATATGATCTTAATTCTGCAAGCACATTTGTTCCAAAAATATTAATGAAAAATTAATACAGCATTTTCATTGGGATGTTTAAAAAAAATCCCAATATTTATCATTTGATTAACCTTAAACTTAACTACATTGGTGAGAAAAAAATAATTTTTAGAATATGAGTAATGGTGTTTACTTACACATACGCTATTTATTACTTTTAGGGCAGACCTTATTTCAACAGTAATTAAGCATAAAAGATGGAGAAAAAACATTATTCCTGATTTTTCTTTTTTCATTCTTTTCTTTTTTTCACTATTAGGAACTATTTGGATCGGTTAGCAGAAGAAGTAAATGATAAATTGCAAGAAAGTGGTCAGGTAACCATATCAGAACTGTGTAAAACCTATGACCTTCCTGGAAACTTTCTGACACAGGTATTTTTTTCTTAATAGTATCATTTGTCTTTTTAACAAGGAATTTTAAAAGAAGAAAAAAAACTAGACTTTTTAACCATCAATTGATTTATTGCAGGTGTCTGACTTGATATATGTTGTAGCATTATATTTTGGGGTACTTCCTGTATACTGATGGTTCTGGTTCTGAGGAGACTGTTCAAAAATGATTATTTTCCTGAACTGAGAGACATTCTAAAACCAATTAACAGACTAAGCTCTAGGGTTGTCTTGATGCAATAGCAACTATACCATAGTTTATACATTAATTTATTTAATGCTTTTTATTTTAGTTGTATAGAAACCAACCTGGATATCTACAGTTCTGATTGCTCAGTTATATTTTAAGAAATAACTGATGAAAATTATAATTTAGAAGGAATACTGCTGTCTTCTTGTGGGTAAAGGTCAGGGATGCTGTTAAATATCCTCAATGTACAGGACATCCCCTTCAACAACGAATTTTCTTGCCCAAAATGTTAGTAATGCCAACATCTTTTGATGGAATCTTTTTTCCCATCTTTAAACTATTAATATGATAGGGAGAAGAGCCAAGGAATCTCACATATTCTATTAACTTTAGATACTTGTGTCAATACTCAAATATCTTGATTTACTACTATGTAATAACAATGCTGCCTGACAATAGAGGCTATTTTCTTGTTTTATTATTTTTTTAAGCAGTTTGACATTTTAGAATCATAGAGATCCGTTTGGTACATTGGAAAGGGCATAAGTTTTAGAGTTTAACAGACCTTGATCTAAATCCTGTCTATACAACTTATTTATTTGACATTAGGAAAATTATTTTATCTCTTTGTGCTTCAAGTTGCATATCTGTAAAATGTATGTCTTTGCCATAGGCTTCAATGAGATATATCTCGTGAAATGTCTGACATAATGGAGGCACTCAATAAATGACAGTTTTGTTTTTTATTTAACTGAAACAAGGGAAAAACCAAATCTCTTTTAAGGTATATATCACTTTAAGAAAATCCAGCTTACAAAACTTACCAAACCGTAATTGTAGGAGATTAATTTATAATATAAGAAGATTAATTTAATACCATTTATCGTTATAGATTTGTTTTATATAGCTGAAATTTCGGAGCCAATTTTATATGAACAAATACTTTCTAATCACAGGTCAAAAATATATTTTTAAAAATGCTTTTTAAAAGTATCAGGTTCACATCCAAATGATTTCTTATAAAACTATGTTTCTGAATACATTGTGAAAACATAGTTTCTTAATATTTTTCAGTTCTAGTTTTTCTGAATATCACAGGCAGTATTCTAAAAGTTCATTAAATTGTTTGAAAAACATATTTCTAGATCATAAAAGTATCAGCTGAGCTGACTTAAGTAGATTTAACTTATCTTGGGATGTAAAATATGTTCAGATTTATTTCAGATGTGCCTGTCCCCAGTCATAGTATAACTATGGAGGAATACTCTCAAGTTTGAAAGCAGGTTGCCAAGAAACCAGATCATCTGCCTTTCTAGATCATCTGGACAGAGATAACTTATTAATATATGCATCAGAGAAGATAACTTTTCAGGTCTTAGGTTTCACTAGGTTGTAGAATCTTGAAAAAACATTTGTTCCTGTCTGTTAGTCTTAGATGCTCCAGATAAGGTCTTCTTCAAAATCCATGTATATGTCTTGGTTATCCATGTGTTAGAAGCTGCCTATATCTAGAATATTGGTTAATCACTTTTATTTTACAGTAGAAATAGCTTTTATTAGCAAGGGCTAATATGATAGCTAAGCCTTTTAACATACAAACAATTTGACTGATTTCTTGGCTCTGTTATGATATAATGAAGTTTTCTAGGTACTGAATCTTCACTTTAGTTTATATGTCTTGTTGAAATTTCTGAATCACATAATTGATACCTCAGCATACAGCATGACTTCAATATGACTATGCAAATATATATATTATTTTTCCCTTTCAAATTAATAAAAATTTACCCCCAGGCACTAACTCATAGACTTGGTAGAATTATCAATGGACATATTGATCTTGATAACAGAGGAGTGATTTTCACTGAAGCTTTTGTGGCTCGACATAAAGCACGCATTCGTGGACTGTTCAGTGCTATTACCCGGTAAGCATGTTTTAAAGCATATATGTTTGTAAATATGTTGATCATGATTTGCATTTTTTTCCTAGCAGCTGAATTATTTTAACAAAATCTCATTTAGGATCCCAGTGTATTAAACAGATAAAAGGGGAGTTTATGTGAAATAGGAGTGGGGATTTCAGAGTCCTAGAATGCAGCCTACCTTTCTCCAACCCACATCTCCTTCCTCTCCCTGTCTTTACCACCCTCAGTACCCCAGATACACTTCTGCCGAATGCACTTTAAACACTGCTGCCCAGATAAGTTTATTGAAGTCATACTGTAATCATAGAAAGAAGATTCAGTTTAAAGTAAGAAGAATGTGAGTCATAGCTTTATCACATAGTAAGCACGTGACCTTGAGCAGATAAGTCAGTCACCTAACTTTTTTGGGCCTCAGAGGGGCTAGATGATTTTAGGATCCTTTTTACCATATAGCATCTATAATTCCAGTAAATAACAGTGTTACTTTCAAAATCATTAACTTTTCAAAATAAGAATTTCTGAAATGTTTTGGTCTGTGTGACTCCAGTATAGAATTCAGAAAAACCTACATTCTCTATTATCTTCTCTCCCCTGTGTCATCACAGTGTCATCACATCTCAGTAGCTTTGTGTCCCACCAGCTTTTAAATACGTCCAGATTTCTCCCATTGCAAAACAAATCTCTGAGCCCCATATTCCACTCCATCTACTCTCCTGTTTGTTCTTTTTTTTAAAGTGAACCTTCTCAAGAGTTGATGTTTATATTTACTGTCTCAATTTTCTTACTTCTGTCACTTCTTAACGTACCTATCCAGCTTCTATTACATATATATATAGCACTAATGTCTCAATATCATTAAATATGATGGATACTTTCTATCCTTATTTGACTTGACTTTGTAGCAGCATTTGACTCCAGTTACATCTTCCTTCTTAAAATATTCTCTTTTTTTAAAAAAAATAATACTTTACTGATTTCTTTTTATCTCTTTTAGCTGCATCTTCTAAGTCACCTTTTCTGACTCTTTCTCCTTTCCTTGGCCTTTAAAGTTTTGTTTCAGGCTCAATGTTACCTATACAGCATCTACAGCATCCCTATTGAAATGTTTTCTAAGTGCTTCAAATTCAATATATTTAAAATGACTGGTACTTGAGGACATTAGGAAATTACTATTAATTTGTTGGATGTTAAAATGACATCAGAGCTATTTACAAGAATGTCCTTATACTGAAGATATACATACACACATGTATATACACCTGTATATATCTGTATTTCTGTATCTTTAACTATGTATATCAAAAAGCATGAGTTTATACTGATACCTCCAATTCTATCCAATACCATAAGTTTCGTTTTGTTCCAGTTGCCTCCTTTTTCATATTTGCAACTTGCTTCTCTAACCATGAGAAACTCAACTCCCATTATCCTTAATGTATTTACATATTTGATTAAGTAAATGTGACTAGTTTCCCATTGCTGCTGCAGCTTCTTTTCCCATATGGATACTCTCCTTACCCCACATAGGCTCTGGCAGCCTGTGCCCGGTCACCATCCTAACACAAGAAACTGGTGGTGGTTTCTGGGGAGAGGAACTGTGTAGCTGAGTGATAGAAATGGAGGAAGATTCAGTTTTGCAACTTTTTTGTACCCTTTGCATTTATTACTTTGTCATAAAGTAAACTAAAAATATATTTTCCTACTAACAAATATTTACCATTTTCTTTGACTAATTATTGTGGTGATTATAATTTTCATCAAAATTAACAATGCTTTTCTCATTCATAGTAGCCCTGAGTTTCTCAATAGGGAAATACTATCAAACCATGAAAGGAGAAGATGTTGCTAGCTATGTGGCTTCCAGACAGTTCCATTTAATGTACCATCGCTTCATGTTTGCCTCTTAAAAATAAGGAACTACCCCACTTTTCTGGATTAACTTCAAAGATATCACCTGCATCTCTGATTTTAGAAGTTTATATTTATTATTGTTAGACATTGCTAGAACAAAGAGCAAAAGCAATTAGTGAGAAGAACTACCTTGTATTCCAAATTAAAATAAAAATCCAGCTAAAGATCATCATACCAAAAAGAGCTAGAAATTTCGTACAACTCAATTCAACATTTATTGAGCACCTACAATAAGTTATGCACCCTAAAATTTTAGCCCTTAAAGGAGTCCTCTATATTTTTGTAAGGATGTGTTCAGGTAGAAGGGAACAGAAAACACAAAGAATAAAGCATGAGAAGATTGTAATAATTATTAGGTAAACAGAGGAGAGCAAAATTCACAGAGCACCTGGATCTTACTGGTTTGAAGGTTTGCTGTGGTTTAGAGGTGATTTGTACCCACCAAAACTCATGATGAAATTTGATCCTCAATGTTTGGGGAGTCAGGCCTAGTGGAAGGTATTTGGGTCATAGAGGCAGATCCCTCAGTAATAGATTAATGCCTTCTTACCAGAGTGAGTTCTCACTCTAATGGAAATAAATTCCTCAGAGAGAGAAAGAGAAAAAGCAAGCAGATTATTACAAAGAGTCTGGCTTCCTTGGTTTCCCCCCCTTGCTTCCTGTCTTGCCATGTGATCTCTTTGCACATGCCCACTTCCTTTCTGCTTTCTGCCATGAGTTGAAGTAGCATGAGACCCTCACCAGATGTAGCTGCCCAATCTTGAGCTTTCCAGCCACCCGAATCATGAGCCAAATAAACCTCTTTTCTTTATAAATTACTCAGCCTCAGGTATTGTTAGAGCAGCACTAAAAGGACTAAGGCAAGGTTCTAGATAATTTAGCTGACAATTTTGGATAAAATAATTTAATAAACAAATTGATCTACATAAGAATTTGATAAAACTAATAATTTAGTCAAAATTCCCCAAACACAGGGGTTTTAAATACTCATTTCAACTTTAGACAACTGTTTCTGCTTTCCCAAACTTGTTGTAGAAAGAATTTGTCTCATCCTAAATAATCAACAATAGAGGATTAAAAAGTTGAAATTACTTGAAAGTCTTTTAATTGTATTCATAAAAAGTAAAAACAGACTAACCTTAACTAGAGAGACCAGGCATACTGGCTTAAAATGAAGAGGAAAAAAAATTGTGGTCAGAATAAGTCTGTATCCTTTTATCCTTCATTTTTTAAAAAATAGGTAGTTATTATAAAAGAAATATACACTTATATATCTACCCAAAGGAATCTACCCAAAAGAAATGGAAACATATATTCACACAAAGACAAGAACATGAATATTCATAGGAGCGTTATTCATATAGCCCCAAATTGGAAACATTAGAAATGTCAGCTGATGAGTGTGTAAATAAAATGTGATATATCTATACAATAGAATGCCATTACGCAATAAGAAGGAATGAACTACTGATGCATTCTTCATCATGCATGAACCTCAAAAACATTCTAAGTGAAAGAAGACAGAAAGGAGACCACATGTTGATTCTGTGTATTAAATGTCAAGGAAGGCAAATTTATAGAGGCAGAAAACAGATTGTTGATCTTCTAGGAGTTGCAACAGGAATTAGCTATAAATAGCTATCAAGGAACTTTGTGGGCAGTGGAAATGTTCTAAATTATACAGTAGTGATGATTGTACAACTCTATAAATTCATTAAAACCATTGAATTGTATACTTACAGTTGGGTAGATTTCATGTTACATAATTTATATCTTTTTAAAAGCTGCCTAATAAAAGAAATACATAGTCATTATAGAAAATACCTGGTAAGCAAAACAAAGGGGGCATTTTAAATGGATCCCTCCCAATCAGTCACCCTAATCTAGGAGTATATCATTCTAAATTCTTTTCAGTGCACATAGGATCTTATTTGTCTTCAAAAATGGAATCATATAATATTCCCATCTTAAGGAAAGACCCTCCCAGATAGAAATAACAGAATGAAGGAAACAAATATATAGTAAAGGACAAGGAAAATAAATAATCAAGTATCACAGAAATCTGAGGTGAAATTTGGTGGAATGGAAATGTAAAGTGATCCTGGAAGGGAAGACAGATTGATTTCTCTGGTATTTCAGTAGCATAATTCTGATTAAGAATTTAAGTTTGGTATACTTTTGGGCATTTTTTCTTTTAAATTAACTGGTATTTTTCATAAACTCTATCCTAGTTATTTTATTAATTCATAAATCTGTGTAACTAATGAGTCAAAAATTTTCTCTTTTTTGTAATTCATAAATCTGTGTAACTCTATAATGAGTCAAAAGTTTTCTCATTTTTGTTGTTTTAACTTTCTGTAAAGGCCTACAGCAGTGAATTCTTTGATTTCAAAATATGGATTTCAGGAGCAGCTTCTTTATTGTAAGTTTGATTTAAATTAGATTCATTTAATTAGCTGCTGAATAGATTAATAATGTAAAACTTAATGTTTTTTCCTCTTTTAATATTAAAACTTAATATAACTAAAATATTCCTTGTTTGAAAAAGTTTCTATATGTCAATTTTCATATATGTATCTATCTGTTACACCCAGCAAATATTTAGTATTGGTTAGCCCTAGAGGAGTAGAATGGAAAAAAAAGTATGTATATACAATGAAAACACACACACACACATACACACATGTATATACTGTTATACATACAGAAAGAAATTTAAAATTGTAGGATTAAGAATAATTTTTACGGTTTTTTTTGCTTTATTTTCTAATTTGAAAGTAAATAGTATTTCACTAACAAAATTTTTACAAAGTTTATAGTGATAAAAATATATTCTTAGCAGTCAAACAACATAATGTTATCTCCAAAATAACCTTGGTTCATTGTCTATTTTCTTTATGTATTTCTGAAGCTCTTACGAGGTTTTGAGGAGTTTTTTTATGCTTTCCTAGAATAATTTTTCAAAAGCAATGACTTAATCTTTCAACTCACATATTCTGTGCAAATGTAAGAACTAAAATGAAGAATGGAAAAGAAATTTAAATATAGAACCAAAAATTTTCATTCACTGAATTTTTAAAAAAACAACTTTAAACTTAAAATTTTTGTTTAAGACAGATTTAAAATTAAACTGAGTTTTTTTGGAATCTGCATAATTGGGGGTGGGTGTGATTATAATGTAAAGTTCCTTAAGTAATAATTGATACCTTCACAACTTCGGCTGGAATTTAGGAAGGATTTGTGTAGTACAGTCATACTCAGTTGAGAATCATGTATTGTAGTCTGTTAAGGACTTTTCTGTTGTATTTTTATTTACTCAGCATTGAAATTCTGAAATTCATACATAAACTAATTTTTATTTCTGCTAAAGACTAATTTTTATTAACCTTTCTTTGTGCCAGGCAGCTTTTAAATGTGCTTACCTCTTAAAACAATAAAAATTTAGTTAAATTGTATAATTTAAATAAAAAGCATAAATTTGATATTAATGGCAGCACTATTCACTTTTTAAACTAGCATCAGTCTGATGATGATGATGGTAGTGGTGGTGATAGTCATGATATTAATATTTGGTTAATATATGTTGGGTGTTTATTATATGCCAGTTACTTTTCTAAGCACTTTACTTGAATCCAACAACCCTATGAGATAGGCATTGTTATTATTCCCATTTCACAGATAAGAAAATGAAGGGATAAGGAAATGTACTTGCCCAGTGTTTCCTAACTAGTAGGTACCAATTGAGATTTAAACTTAAGCAGTCTGGCTCCAAAATTCATCCTCTTAACCACGGCATTTTACTTCTCTTGTAGGTAGGGTTGAAATAAGTTGCTTCAGTTTAAACAATGAAAATGCAATAACTCATAAAAATGTTAATAGTTTTATTTCACACCACTGATTCTAATATGGTCCAGGTGTCTTGATTTTTCTAAATATTAGAAAATTGAACTTGTTAATACTATTGATTGCATATTATCTATTCTCAAGGTGTTTTATCATCTACTTTTAAACAAACCATAAGATAAATTAATGGCATGCTGGATTTTTTTTTCCAAAATTACCAAACTAAAAAATTCAGTTTGTTAATGTTAACTAGTTTGAGATACAAGTTCAGCACCTTCAGCTGGTTGCCAAATTTCCCTGAATTTATGTCCTGAGTATTCTCATAAATGGTAGGAAAGTAGTATATAAAATATACCTCCATTTATCCTTTTTAAACTTTAAATTGGTTTTTAACAAGATAAGAATAGGCAAATTATGAAATAATAAAGTATTTTACTTTTTAAGATTTGTATCTGCTCTGATTTATTTGTATTTGTATGGGTTTGTTTTAAGCTGTACTTGAGGAACTTGTTAATAGTGGACGCTTACGAGGCACTGTGGTTGGTGGGAGACAGGATAAAGCAGTGTTTGTCCCCGAAATCTACTCCAGGACACAGAGTACTTGGGTGGATTCCTTTTTCAGACAGAATGGCTACCTAGGTAACTATTTTTTTCTCTTGAAACTAAAATTTCTTTCTAATACTAAACACAGTCTTAAAAAGTATTGTACTAACTCTGGAGTCCATGTGTACTTTCCTGTTGTTGATCAGAATATTATAATGGTTCTCTTTGAGTATAAAAGTAATCACACTGCAGGTTTTTGTGGGTCTTAGAACTGAGTTTAATTCCATAGTTACTGAACAATTATAATGTAGAAAGACCAAAATCTGTCATTTTTACCAATCTTCCAGTTATATTAAGATGATACTACTACATTTCAAGTATTTTTAATTTATAAAAGTAATTGCATTTATTATTATATCTTGTATTTTATGAGGTTGCCGAGTTTTTCAGATACATCATCTTAGAAATATTTTGTTTGCTATCAGCTTTACAGTGTTTATTTCTATTAGTTATCTAGTACTTCAGAAATGTTGAAGTTATTCTTAATTCTGATTGTGAATTTCTACTGTCCTTTGAATAAAGTAGATTGACTGAATTCAGTTATTAAAACAATTAGCAAACATATATATATATATATAGCTCAGTTATGTGTGTGTGTATATATATATATATATGTATATAGCTCACTTAGTTTGAGTAATTTTATAACCTAAGTTAAACCATTAAAAGATTACTTAGTAATAATCCTGTAAATTATTGTTAAATAATTTAAATCTATACTAAGATATTGGGTTTTGCTTTGTTTTCTTGACTTTCTATGATGTACTTTTCAGTTTCTTCAACCATAGGCTTGGATTAGAAATTTGTTATAACTAGTTTTCTTAAGTATAATTATTTGGTATAGGGGTAGGGGAGTTAGGAAGATTTCTTCAATAACTATATTGGCTATAAATTTAAGTCTTTATTTTTTACTTTTGCTTTACACTCTAAAAATCTTTTTCTAGTTTAAAGTAGACTGGAGAATAACTTTGTTCTATGTTGTCTGATGAAACATTTTAAAAAATAAATTTCATTCTTTTAATTAACTATAATCAAAATAAATTCCAGGTTTTGCTTCTTGAACCATTACCTTCTCCTTTATCCCCATTTCTGATTATATTACTCTGTAGTCCTCATGTTTTCCCTTTGGCCCTTCCATTGGAGAAGGAATGACACAACTGATATTGAGGAAGTACTTGAACCAATTTTTCTATAAATATCTTTAGTAATAAAAATTTGGAAAGGTAAGATAACCAGGAAATAGGCTGGGATACATTTCTATGCTTTATTCCTAAAAAATATTACAGTACAGTGTGTTTATAATCAAATAGGTTTTGGTAGAACATAAGTTTTTCTAAGATTTCTAAAAGGTGTGAATGATTGGCAATTCTAATCCAACTTTTTGATGTATTTCTAGAATTTGATTCTTTGTCCAGACTTGGAATCCCAGATGCTGTAAGCTACATAAAGAAGAGATTTAAGACTACACAACTCTTGTTTTTGAAAGCAGCTTGTGTGGGTCAAGGACTTGTAGATCAGGTGGAAGCATCAGTAGAGGAAGCCATCAGCTCTGGAACATGGGTTGATATTGCAGTATGTTTTATCATTTTCTTCTCAACTTTTCTTTAAACCAGCGACCATTGATATATTACTAATATAAGGCCATTTAAACGATTAGGATACGAAAAGGCAATGTTTGCTTTAGAAATTCCAGCAGTCATTGTTATAATAAAAATCTTTATTTTATGCATAAAATCTTTCTGGCTTTTGAAGTACAGTGACCTTGTACATGTGGATAGTCAACATCAAGAATTCTATAAAGCTCAAATAAGCAAACAATATAACACCCATATCAATCCTGATACAGAAACTGATGAGACTTCTCACTGTCTTGTATTTACAGCTGTACTGGCATCAGGCATTGGATAGCATTTGTTTTTATCCCTTATCCTTTAATCTGTGCTAATGTATTAACACAAGCTGCTTTGGCACTGATAGTGTTTTACTTCAGTGTTCAATGTTGACCTGCCCTTCATTATGCCAAAGAGATAAATTGTAGGTAAAGAAAAATAAACAAGAGGACAATCCATTATTTTCTAGTCAGGGCTCAAATGCTCTTTATAAAGCAGAAAATTCCCCAAGTTCCCAAAGATTCCAGATTTAAGTGTTTTTAATTCATTTACAAATTTTATTAAATACTTTCTTTGTGCACCATTCTACTTGCTGGGGAATGTGGCAGCTAGACAAGTTTCCTGCACTCAAGAAGGGCACTTTCACTGTGGAGAGATAGATTGTGAAAATAAGGTAATTGCAGATTAGAAAGAGCTAAGACAAAATAGATTTTGAAGCTAAAGTTATCAGGGCATGCTGGTGGATTATTTGAGGGTTTGTGAGAGAGAGGAATTGAGTGTGCCCTGTAGGTTAAAGATGCCTATTAGGCATACAAGTGGGGAAAGTAGGTAACAGGATATATTATTTGAGAGCTCAGAGTGGTAATGAAATAAGAAATACAATTTGGGAAGTTAGCATAAATATGGTTCCAAAAGCCACTGGACAGAATGAGATCACTTAGGGAAAGCATATATGTACACAACAAATGATTTATCTGTATTACATTGTATTTATACTTCATTTTCATTTTGTTTGTAATTCTAGCCTTTGCTGCCCAGTTGTTTATCAGTTGAAGATGCTACCATATTGCTTCAGCAGGTGATGAGAGCGTTCAGCAAGCAGCCTTCAGCTGTAGTCTTTAGTGACACTGTTGTAGTCAGTGAAAAATTTATAAATGACTGTACAGAACTCTTCAATGAACTGATGCACCAGAAAGCTGAAAAGGTATGCCATATTTCCTTTTGTCTGCTAATTTTAGCAGTATTCTCACATTAGAATCATCTGATATCTTTTGGAAAATGGGGTAAGCAGTCTACCCAAAAATGAACATTTTGTATCACATATCATTTTCCTTTAATGTATCATTCCTTTTTTGTTTCCTCTCCCAGATTTGTTTTTTCTCTTATTCCCATCAGAACATATAAATTAGAACTTGGGAAACTGATTTTATAAATTGAAATCACATAAATGAAATCATTCACTTCACAGTCAAGGTGCCTGAGGGTATTGGTCCAACTGTAAAACATTAGAATGTATACAAACATCATTGTATGAATGTATAATATGAATACATGTATGGTATGAATAAATACACAGTTTATTTTTCAATCGGAATACATTATATTTACTAAATCTAGCAGAGCCTCACTAGTTTTACCTTTTTGGGGTACACAAACATGATAACTTGCTGAGAAAGGAAATTGTGTTCCCCCTCACAGTTGATTAGTTAGTTCCTTAGAGAAACTGCTATCGAAGTATTTTGAAATAGAGGTGAAACTAGGTCTGCTTTAATGACTATTCTGTTCATGTTTCTAGTTAGTAGTACCATCTCCTTATAAAGCCTGCTCTCGAATAGGTAAAATAAGTCTGTTTTTCTTAGTTAAACTGTTAATAAATACATGAGAGCTTATTAAATATGTAAATAATTTGTATTTAGCTATACTCCTTTTAAGCTCTTCAGTAGTCTAAAAATTAGAACTTGGGAAACTGGGAAGCAGAAAAAATGAGATAATTTTCTGCATTTAGCCTGATAAGCTGCAGAGGAGATTAAAAAGTATATAGGTTTGATACCAGTAAACCTGAGTTTAAACATGCTTACTCTCTGTGTCACTTTAGACAGACAAACCTCCATTTTCCTTATCTTAAAAGAAAGGATGATGATATCTACTCTGGAAAAGATGAATATAAACAAATAATGGATGTATATAAAATGTCTGGTACACGTTAACTACTAGTTACTAAATGACTATTTGTATTAGTGGTCTTTTGCAAAAGTAAAATTTAACATAGTCATTACTTTTTTCCTTGGGCTGTAACCTTCTAACCACAAAAATAAGTTCAGAAAAAGATGATTCTATTACTTGAATTACCAACATTCTAAGCATTTTTCTTGAGAAAATCAAAAAGGAAATAGCACTTTTACCATAAAAATGTACTTTTATCACTAGAGATAGTAGGACCCTTTCCCATGAGAAAGAACCTATAACTGAATTTAGAAGTAGTTCATTGTTGTTAACATAAACTTTTAAGAAACAAAGATCATCAAGAATAGGTCCAGGGAAAAAAATTGTTTATGCAACTTACATATGGTCATTTGGGTGAGCAATGAAGATTCTTTATCTTTCCAGTAACCTCAAGTATCCAGGTGGCATTGCACTTGGAAATCTCAAAAAGAGAACATTCAGCAGTGATAAAACTGGTCAATAACAGCTGAAGAGGATTGCATCTTATACTGTGTGATAAGTTATTCAGTGACCAGATAGGATTTCTCATTACCTAGAGAAAAGCCAAGAACAGCAAAGAAAATGATTTTTGACAAGGAAAAACATCCTTAGAGTGGCCGCTCTGGGGCAAAGCTCTATAGTCCTTAACAATCAAACCAAACAGGAATAATTAGTATATAAACAACTTTTATTGTATGCTTTTTGAAATGCTATATATTTTTCCTAACAGAAAAAGCATGTTTTATTTCAGGAAATGAAAACTAATCCTGTGCATTTAATCACTGAAGAAGATCTGAAACAAGTCTCCATTTTAGAAAGCATTAGTACAAGTAAAAAGGATAAAAAAGATGAGCGAAGAAGGAAAGCAACAGGTAACAAATTAACAAGAAATGTTTAAAGATGAGTTTTGCATTTGTTACATTTATTAGGCCCTTTGAAAGGTCTTTGATTTGATTGATTCTCCTTTAATTTTAACTGCTACTATCAACCAAATCTTTTGCTAATGAATTAAATTTTAATTATGAAAATGGAAATATTGGTAATTATTCTATGTTTTCTTTTGTGAAAACTAACTTTTATTTCATGCTATTTCATGATCATGCTCATCTCCTGTTTTTCTCAGTCCAGTAGTCTTTTTATTAACAGATTCTCAAACTTGCCTAGTTTGTGTTTACCCCAGAACCTTTACACAGGTTCCTTCTTTTGATTCTGAGCTCGCCTTCAAATGTCACTTCCTTACAGAGATTCCTATAACCCCTCAGAATAGTAGCCACAGCCAGTCTCTATCATTTTATCTTGCCAGTTTTTTTGTTACATTACTTTATTATTGTAATGTATTTTATTGTAGAAGAACCTTGTTCATCTCATTTATTGTACTCCTAGTACCTACCTAGAACGCTACTTTTGTTGTATTTTAGGTGTTCTATATATATTTACTGAATGAATTTCCCAATAAGATATTATTTTTTTAATTTATTTTATTATGTAAATTCACTGGAAATTATTGTAATATCACTGGTATACTCATAACTTGCATTGGAAAAGTAGCATCTATTTCCAATACTTTTTATAGTAGGAACAGTGTTATCAGTGCTTTATCAGGGTTAAAGAAATTTAATATATTCACCATATTTCATTAATAAATACAGCTACATTGAACATATATATAAAAACTTAATTTTTGCTATGGGAATTTACTTTTATTAAGATAGTTTAAGATAGTTTCTTTCCTCTTCTAAAATCTTTTTCTGAAAAACCTATCAGTGGTATTTTGAAACTGTTTTCTATTCTTCTAGGAAAACTATAGTAAATTATTCCAGTAAATCAGAGTAATAGTCACAGCCATGCATATTTTATCATATTATTTGAAGCTATAATTATAAATTTGCCTTAATCAATTGGTTTCTTATGTCAGTATAAGTAGTCTGTTTTATTTCTTGTTAAAAGTTAAAGGTCTTCTGATATTTTGTTCTCAGTGATAACTGCTATTTTATTGAAATAGCTTAATTACAGTATGTGGAATCATGTCAAGCATGAATGTCCTCCCTGTACAAAACTTACTACCAGATGTATGAAGGACATTCACTTTAGACTTGTGCTTTCTAAAATAGTATTTTTCCATCATAAAATCAAGAGAAAAAGAAATTAATAGAAGCTTTAATTCTAGGATATGATGAAATCTAAGGGTCATCTACTTAGAATTTAGAAAAAGATCTTTAATTTATATAAACTACTTTATTGGGAAAAAATAGTCTTTTATGAAGAAATATAGTTGCAGTATTTTTCAGTGTTTAAAACCCATTATATGTGTTCTATTTTGTAGAATAAATATTTTAAATACCTCTATATTTTTTACTTTTATTTACAATTTGAGTTTGTTCATAATTTGTATTTTTTAGTCTATATTTAGCCAATAGTTGATTGATAATGACTTTTTTTACTTAACCAATTTAATATTCATGGTCAACATTATTGAGCCTTTGTTAAATTTCAAGCATTGCTGTAACCCCCAAAATACAAACATTATTGAGACATGCTCCTTGCTCTCAAGATGTCTGTAATCTGATTGGGTGGTGGGTGAGTCAGAATTTCTCCTTTAAACATGGATAATAATCTTTCAACCAAGAAGGCAAAACCAAGTATAATTAAATTTGTGAAGTATTATAATAGAGGATTATTGATGAGGCTGTGGTAACAGATGCATAAATGAGGGCACATTTCTTCTGAGGAAGGTAGAAGAGGAAGTATAGGAATGGGTTTGGCCAAGAAAAGATTCAGAGCTATAGAAAAGTGATGATATTAGAGAAGGAGGAAGAGACTGCATTTAGAGCAGCCAGGCCATCAAAGTAGGAAATCAAGAGATTTCCTATTTTATTGTTTTTTTGATTTTTTTATTGATTGGATTTACTAGGCTTTTATTTTAATAAGGAAATTCCAAGCTTAAAAAGAGTCTTAAAGTTTCTTTATTTTGCCTTTTTCTGCTGTAAAGTTAAATATGACAACATAGTGTCATCATTTCTAAAAATAGTGAGTTAGATAATACTAACTAATGTTATTTTCTCACCAGAGGGCAGTGGAAGTGTGAGGGGAGGAGGTGGGAGCAATGCCAGAGAGTACAAAATTAAAAAAACCAAGAAGAAAGGAAGAAAAGACGATGATAGTGATGATGAATCTCAGTTATCTCATGCTGGTATGTGACTTTGCTTTTCCTTTGTGCATGCATGATTTTTTAAACATTTTCAAGATGTATATAATTAGGCACATATGCTTATATGTGCTTATGTATATATGTATACCTAAGTAATATGTATATTATGTACATATGTACTATGTATATAATTAGGCACATATGCTTATAAATCTTTGTTTTGCACAAATTTCAGTTATCACAGTTTAGTTAAATGACATCAGTCTACCAACAACACAGTTTAAATATCAGTTACCAAGATACCTTGGTATATTAACCAAGTAATTGCATGAAGTGCAGACTTTACTGCCGGTTCTTCAGTCTACACATCAGTACATAAATAATAGATGCGTTTCATGATCTGTAACAATCGTGTCACTTATTTTCTAGTTTGCCAGTGATTGATCACTGTACATCTGTTATTTTTTTATGCACAAATAACAAAGCATGTAGCTGTGTTGCCTCATTGTCTCCCAGTGGTAAACTCAGTGACATTTTATAAAAATGGATAGTCAAAGGGGAATTAGCCAACAAAATAAAAGTGCAGCAAAGAAATGAAAAGTGGTAACACTGGAAATACAGTTGGAATCAAGCATAGATGGAGTTATAGAAGGAATGGCTGACTGTGGGAATGTTGACACTGCCATTGTTCAAGAGGCTCTAGCTCACAGCCAGAAGGACTTAGTAAAGGCACACTTATTGACATAAATGAGGAACGTAGCTGTGACAAAAAGGATGAAAACATCTTAAAGGATGTGAAGTTGGCAAAAAACCTTCAAATTAAAGGAACTCTTGGAGATATTCCAAGACATTGAAAGGACAAAGAATAAAATGTTGGAAGCTAATCCAGAGTTAGAAAGTGGTGTGACAATTAAAGCATAGTAAAGATGCTTGCTCCACACTGCAAGTTGTATGATGATAAGAAAGTAAGCACTGTTCAAAATATTCTTGAGTTAAGTTTTTGTACAAAGAAATAAAACACTTTTATTTTCTGTGTTTCTAATGTATTAAATTATACCCTACTGAATTATAAATATTTTATTTTTCATTTCCCTATGCCAGTGTTTTCACAAAAGTTTTTAAAAGACCACAGAACAGTTGTGATTCATCCTATTGATTATTAAGAACATGTTGTAGGGTTTCAGCTTGCATGGTCATTTTTATTGACTCCACTGCCATGCAAAACAAGTATTAGCATATTTATGAAGAGTAGGCCTCTGCAAATTTAAGTAGGAAACATTAATTTTATGTTTAATTTTTATAGTAATACCTAACTACTCAGTTATTTATATCTAAGGGGAAGAATTAATTATGTGCATCCTCTTTTCCTACACTTGTTAGTGCTTGGCAAGATTAATTCTGTAAGAGACATCTTATTTTGTTTTTCTAAATAAGATTATAATTTTTTTTTATTTTTCTGTTTAAAAAAATAGTTAATAAAATCATGATATTTCCCTCCTTATCCTCAGCAAAAAGAAAATAGAAGAACAAACTTCAAATGATAATAATTTGAGATTTATATTTCCCCTCTTTCGTGGAGTTTATTACATATTGGCTACAGCTGGAAGATGCAAATGTCAAATGATGTGGTTCTAGCTCTTAAAGTGCAGCTTACTGTTTGTAATAGCACAGTTACTTAAAATCTATCTTTAAATTATTCTAAGATAGATAGAAATAGCTACTGTTCTTGATGTGTGTAAAACAATATTAAAGGAAAAGTATCTTTGTAGAAACTATTAGCTCTGTTCTTATTTTAAATATTTAATAGTATTAAAACTATCCTAAGTGAATTTTAATTTTTCACTGGTAAATGAATTTCCCTACTTCCCAGTTGTACTACAGATGAGAGTAAAGAGGCATTTAAAAAAAAATACTTTTCTAATTTCTGTAATCTTAAATAATTGTTAAATGAGGCATGTAATATTACTTTTGTGCATAGACTATTGAGAAGAACTATAAAAGTAGTAAAACCATTCTACCTAAAAAAATGTAATTTCAATGTTTTTGAAAAAGAGTTGTGTTATAATCTCTGAAGTGAAGGATGAAATTAGGTTCTCAGCTAAAACGTAGAACCATACTTAGTATGAAAGATTATTAGAGGGAAATATAATTTAATAACAAATGCATGCAGGAAGCAAACAGGGAACTCACAGACCATTTAGTGTGAACATCAGGAATGGTTTGCAGATCTCAGAGAAGAAGAAGAAGAATAGTACTTGTCTATCTAGTCTAACTGAATCTGTGATCTCAACTCTTTAGATCTTCATTCATAGTGAAAATTGATTTTTTGAGCTATTTTATTTTTATTTCTAAAGTTTTGCTTGTAGAATCAATAACCTAATTTAGCTAGAAATAATCATTTTTATACCTTTACAATTTGGAATGGAATTAATTGTTAGCTTTCTTTGTCTACAACCCATACTTTTTTTTCTAAGTGGGTAGGCATGACATTTCCACAATTATTATTAACAATTATTTAATTGTTATTGTTAGCAATTATTTCCATTACAGTAGCTGCAAACAAATTGTCCTTAGTATAGAGTTATTTTTGTGAGAGCAGAAATAAATTATAGGTACAAATTTATGAGATATTTTTTCATCTATGCCTTTCCAAAAAGACGAATTTTAGCTTAAAACAGTTCTTCTGAACTGTGGTTCACAGGATTATAAAGACTTTCCAGAGATCTTAAGTAAATTATAATGATGATTTAGTTTTTAATAAATAAAATACTGCCCAGTATCCTTCCCTAAAAGATTTTTTTTAACTACTTGATTGTTTTGATATCCAGCTATTTGTATTATCCAACTTTGATGAGGGAGAAATCATCTTTATTGTTTTCTGATTGACTTACAGAAAAGTTATTTGTAAATTAAGTTAGAAAATGATCACTTAGAAGAAATTTCCCTGTATATTCTAATTTTAAAAGTGTTTTAATTAGTTATTGCTATTTGACATTAATAATTTTATTGATATAGAAATTAATATCAGAGTCTCAAATGGTAGGCAGTGAATGAATTGCTATCATATTAAGTATGTTCATGAAACCTTATTTGCTATTTGATTGCTTGTTTGGTTTTTGGTATTTTTTTTTTCCATTGTTCATGTCTGCTATAGGAAAGAAGAAACCAGAGATCACTTTTATGTTCCAGGATGAGATTGAAGACTTTTTAAGAAAACACATACAAGATGCCCCTGAAGAGTTTATTTCTGAACTTGCTGAATACTTAATAAAGCAAGTATAAGACTTTTTTGTTTTATGATAGAAATTCAGTGGGTTATTAAATAAAATTTTTACCAAGATCATAGAAAACATATATTTTAGGTGTTTTCTTTTCAAAGCTTAGAATTTAATTTAACCACCAAATTCTAGATTTTATTTGCCTATAGAGGCAGTTTAATTAAACAAATATCTGTTAAGTGCTTTGGGCAAGGTCATATGGGAAATATAAGGTGAGAACTTAAAAGTATCCTCATTCACTGATCTTACAGTCTTAAGTCTCAGTTGGGGAGAAAAACACCAGCGTTAATCACTGGCTGGTCTTTTTCATAGCATGAAAAATAACATCCAAAAGGAAGAAGGGTTCATTTTCTATTTTTATTTGACAGAAAGTAAACAGTGTTTACTTTTAGGAAGAAAATAAAGTAACAAACTGACCTCAAAAAGAATAAATTTAGACACTACTACCTTTTGAAGGAACAAGGTTCAAATTGTTTTTTCTTTTTTTTTTTTTGGTAGAGACTGTCTCGCTGTTGCTCAGGCTGGTCTCAAGTGATCCTCCTGCCTTGGCCTCCCATATTGCTAGGATTATAGGCGTGAGCCACAGCACCCAGCCAAGCCAGGCTAAACTTATTTTTATATAAAAATAAAGGAAACTATGTACAACTTGACCATTACTAGCTAACCTAGCCATCCCTCAAGTTAGTCCCACTATGTAAGCTTCCATAAATATAATCCAGGAGTTCAGTGCATCTAACTGTGATAAAATCAAAGTACAGCTTTTTTAGTGAGAATTTTTAAAAATATAAGTAAATTTTTTTGTAAATATATTATAGAACCGTATTTTTCACCTGTAAAAAATGGTTACTACTAATCATTTACCATTGCTTTTATAAATAATCTATTTTAAGTTGAGCATAAAAAGTGTTTTTTTTTTTAATGCATTACCTTTTAGTACTCTAGAAATTGAGAATTTAAGTTGTAATTCCTAAGGATGGAGAACAGGCTTAGAGTCTGCTGCTCTCCAGATTAACTTTATAAAGCTATGTAGATTTGTGGAGTGTTTGTTATTGTTGTTGTTCTTGTCCGTAGTGCAAAACTTTGAGCACTTTAAAACTGAGAAAAATAATCGATTTAAGTTATAATTTCTGGGATTGAGGGACAAATTCTTAGTGAACTATTCTCTAAATTAATTTAGTTTATAAAATAGAGATCTTTTTAAAGCCTGATTTCCATAGAAGAAAAATTTCTTATCTACATAAATGCCCAGTACATGTTAATAATCTAAATGTATTTATCTTGTCCACAGACCTCTTAATAAAACTTATCTCGAGGTGGTCCGTTCAGTATTCATGTCTTCAACTTCTGCTTCTGGAACTGGCAGAAAACGCACAATCAAGGACTTGCAAGAAGAGGTTTCAAACCTCTACAATAATATTAGATTATTTGAAAAAGGGATGAAGTTTTTTGCAGGTATACTTCCTACTTTTTTTTTTTTAATTGATTCTCATAAGTTGGGGAAGAAATTATGTTTAATAAACACCTTTGTTTTCCAGATGATACACAGGCTGCTCTTACCAAGCACTTGCTGAAGACAGTGTGTACTGATATCACTAACCTCATTTTCAACTTCTTAGCTACGGATTTAATGATGGCAGTAGATGATCCTGCAACCATTACAAGTGAAGTATGTTAGTGATTTTCTTGCCACTCTTAAAGTGTTTTGTTTTGAATCTGAGCGCATTTTATTTTCTTTTATTTGAATGGTTTAAAAAGGAAAATAAAATACAATAAAATGAGAGTTGTTGAGGGGAAAAAAGATTTTTCATTCAAGTTTAGTACAATGTATATACAATTGCTAGTTGGATTGGTAATAAAACCAGTCTATTAAAAGTAACAATGCGTAATTACTTTAGAATAAACAGTTTTATTTTTTTTTCTAATTATTATATCACATCCTTTTTTCTTGATGATTTGCAAGTCCCTTAACTTTCTGGCCAGTTTTCATAACTTTGAAGTCAATTTTCATTTAATGACATCATCTCTTTCAATATTCAGACTAATTCCAGTTCAGTTTTTAAAAATTCTAAATTCAAAGCTTGTCTCATCCCTTCTTACCATGTAAGATAGATCAGTGGCTCCCAGTTGCCTAGAGGAGGAAAGATGTGCTCTGTCCCTAAGGTAATGATGATGACAACTCCTTACCCTCCTCCCCATTCTTTCCTCCTCCTCCTTCTTCTTGTCCTTCTAGGTCCACTTAAGATTGGAGATTTAGGAAAAATGAGGGAGGTGAAATTGTCTTCATGTGACTAACTGTGTATCACTACTTTGATCTAGGTCAAACCAAATCAGTCTGATATGCCCTCTGGTCATGGTGGTCATTGCCACATGGGTGACATGGGTGGTATTCTTGGAATGTTGTTTAGTTTTATGTGACTTCGTCTCATTGTAAGGAAAAAACCCAAACAGAGGAACAGTTATTATTTCTCTCTCCTACCCTAGCAAGATCTTGGCTCCCTTCCGTTCTTTGGCTTAAGCAGTAAAGATCCATCTGGATAATCCCATGTCTTCTGTTTTTGTACCAGTCTCTGCTGTGGGAAATAGAGGAGGTCTTGTTCTGTGCCCTTCAAGGAACACAGAAGGATTGGGGTGGGGTGGGCAGAGAAGCTGTAAGTTGCCCCTGCCTTCCCAAATAGGCTGTACCCTTCAGAACTTACTGTCTATTCATTCCAGCCAGCCTCCTTCCTAAATTTTACACTAGAAGAAACTAAAAGACTCTGATCAAGAATGCCACCAACCTTCACTAGGCACGTATTTTTGGAGAGAGGTGTTAGAAAAGGTTCCTCACACCAAACAGCATAACGAGTATCCAGCCATGGAACAAGATCTCAGTCCCCCAACTTATAGGCATCCCTCACCTTTATGAGTTCCCCCGTCTTATAGCCATCCCTCACCTTTATGAATGGGGCCTTCACAGCTGGCACTGAGGAAGAAAAAACACTCTCTTGCTACTTCAATGAAAAAGAGCAAATACCCTCTTACCCCAAATAATCTACTTCACACAAAGAAATCTACTTCACACAAAGAGAGAGTCAGTGTCTCTCTTTCTGGCCTTCCTCTTATATTGCTGGAGCAGGTGGGAAGTTTAAGGCTGTATCTGTCTAGCCTCTTTGGCTGACTGACTTTTGACCAGCTATCTGATTTTTAGAATGTTTTTAGCATATTTTTATCCCTAGTTTAAGATCTAAAATTCACTCAGCAATTTGTTACGATAATAAATATACCTTTTTTTCACTTGATCTGCTGCGTGTCAAAAACACAATGCTGAAAGAATTTTTATTTTCCCCTTATAGGTAAGAAAAAAAATTTTAAGTAAATTGTCAGAAGAAACCAAATTAGCTCTCACAAAACTCCATAACTCTCTGAATGAAAAAGTAAGTAAAGTTTGATTCTATTTAGATATCAGGACTATGTTTGTGTTATAAAGATCTTTGAGTAGATTTTTATCAGAATGATTATAAACCCAATCTTAAACTAGTATTTTGCGCTCAGTTTCCTCTTTAGGAGGTGAAAGGGGGAACCATGCTGGGGGCATTTTACCCTTTTTAGTCCTAAAGCACAATTTCTAATTTAATAACAAAGAGACCCTTTTAAAAATTGTATTTTGTGTATAAATTACAAGACTATTAAATGGCTATATTTCTCCCATCCAAGTACTAACCAGTCCTGACCCTGATTGTCTTCTGAGATCAGGTACTTTCAGGGTGGATGGCCGTAGACAAATGGCTATATTTCTTTAGACACCTGTATATTAAAGTAAATTATGGTGCTAAATACTTTTTCAGAGCATAGAAGATTTTCTTTCTTGCCTGGATTGTGCAGCAGAAGCTTGTGATATTATGGTGAAAAGGGGAGACAAAAAAAGGGAAAGGTAACATTAAATTAATCTATATTATTAATATTCTTAAATGTGGGACTTTCCATATCTGAAATTTGAATTTGACTCCATTACTCTTACAGAGACTTACTCTTACTCTTGACTTGACTCATGACTCTTACTCTTATAGAGAACTATATCTAAATAGCTATAGATCTCAAGCATATTCAAAGTCTTTATTATAGTTAGATATTCCTTTCTGACCCTCTTGGTAAGGTAGCAGAGTTTCTTATACCATAGTTAATCAAGCCCAAGAACTTTATATTACCTTTGGGACCTTCCTTATAGCAAACCTCATCCAAATCAGTGTACTTTTGTTTGATCTCCAGCAACTCAAAACAAAAAGCATACTTTGAGTATCCCTGCTATTTAGCTTTTTCTTTAATTTTCTAGCAAACTAGTCTATCCATGCCATTTAGGGCTGTATGTGTGTATATCCAATACTTAAAAGTTATCTTACTCATGGAATGAGATAATTTAAACTAGGGAAGCTAAAAATGAATACAGAGGAATGGATTGAAATTGGTGAGAACTTGTTAAATTATGATAATGCATTTGTGTGATTTTATTTTTGTTTAGGCAGATACTGTTTCAACATCGACAAGCACTTGCTGAACAGCTAAAAGTCACAGAAGACCCTGCTCTTATTCTGCACCTCACATCAGTGCTGCTGTTTCAGTTCACAACCCACAGCATGCTGCATGCACCTGGAAGATGTGTCCCGCAGATCATTGCTTTTCTTAATACTAAAATACCAGAGGTAATACATTTTTAATGCACTTGAAACCTTTCAAGATTTTAGATTCTTAATATTTTGAGTGGATAGATACGAATCGTTGTCAATACTCTGGCACAAAACATTTTAACATCATTTGTCCACTCCCAAGAATGTGAACAGTGAATCAGGAGATTGATTTTAAAAATTTGGCATAGCTCAAGAATCTTTCAGGATCCTGTAAGATATGTAGTAAAGAATATTCTGAATTTGGAAATAAGCTTTCAGAAAAGATACAAGAATGTCAAATCTGCCATTTCAACTTCTCTAGGTTTAACTTATCCTTCAAGGACCAGCTCAAAAGTCTTGTCCTGCATAACTTCTCTTGAAAAGCTCCTCAGCTAAAAGTAATTTGGCTTCTTTGAACTTCCCTATCATTTTTAATATATATGTATGTGTGTATACATATACACACACACACACACACACACACACACACACACGATAGACCCCAGCAAAGTCAACTTATAGTAAAGTGATCTGCATCCATATTTTATCTCCCCTAAACTGTAAACTCCTCAAGAGCAAGGATCCTGCTGGATTTGGCTTTCTACTTACATTACCAGTGTTTTGTAAAGTTGAGAACCTTCAATATGTACTGGTTGAACATACTCTACTTTATCTGTTCCGCAGAAAATTAAATTATGTTGTTAACTTTTCTTTCCCTTTTCACAGGATCAGCATACTCTTTTGGTAAAGTATCAAGGTTTGGTTGTAAAGCAGTTAGTTAGTCAAAATAAGAAGACTGGGCAGGGAGGTGATCTTTTGAGTGATGAATTAGACAAAGAACAAGAAAATATCACCAATACTACTCGTAAAGAGCTTCAAGAACTTTCTTCATCCATTAAAGACCTCGTTCTGAAATCCAGGAAATCATCTGTGACAGAAGAGTAATGATCTTAATTTACATGTGTCATACCATAAGCACTTTCCCCAAAAGTTATAGGTGAGTGGTCACAAAAAAAGTCACTTCACTATGTCCTACTCCCTGCTAAAACCCTCTCCCCCACATACAATTCAGTTAAAATGGTAGTGTTGTATTAAATGTAAATTTTATAAAGATGAGAATTTTTGTAAATTGGGTTCTTCATGGAAATTTTCTTTTTCACATTATTTCACATAAATTCTATGTGAAATTTTTCACATAAATATTATTTTCATGTAATTATAAACACTATACATTTCGGGTTTATATTCTTTCCAGATGCTGAATGAAAAATAAATTTTCTGATATGTTTCACCTCTAGGAAAGGACTCATTTGTTTTGCTATTAGATTTCAAGTGACATTATTGTATTTATACACATTTAGGCAGAAATTGGAAATGTCATGTTTTTAAAAAAGAAACACCTCTGGTGTCAGAAATGAAAATAAATCATGTATTTTATTTTTAAATAAACAGAATGTATCAAAACTAAAATACAGACATTTTCAAAATATATATATATATTTTATTATTACACCCTTGCTGTTATTTCTGGCAGAATAAACTTTTATGTGGTTGGGGCTACAGGACTTCCTTTACAGGGGCATAAGAAGACTAGAGGAACCCATGCATTGCTGTGCTCTGTTCTAAAACCAGCTGCTAGCAAGAGTGAGAGAAAACATGCAATTTATTGCTAGTAGGTATAAGTCACAGTTAACATTGGAGTAACTAAAAATTTAATACAAAGATTTTTCTTTGACCCAGTTTGAATTTCTAAATTTCATTTTTTTATGTTAGTAGTAGCTCTATCATCTAATACTGTAAATACCAATGTGACAAATAGGCTGCTTTTTCCAGTAGAAGGGTCTGTAAGTGCATTTAAATAATTGGAACCTTTTTTTCTATAAATAGAAGCCCTTATAAAAAAAAAAATAAGGTATTTTTGTTTTCTAATGATTAGTTAAAAATGACTAAAATAGTTCCTTGGGGTAATCATTTCAATCAAATGAATTTTAAACAACAGTTTATTATTTATCAAAAAGGAATTTAATTATTTTGAATATAATAGTAATTGAAATCTCAGATATTTAAGAAATACTATTTTATGTAATTCCTTACATGACATTTAAAACTTTATATTCTAAAGTGTTTGAATACAAAGATCAGTCTACCTCTACTCCATTCTAGGCAAAGTATTAATCCTAATTAATATAATTGCAGACTAAGCATTATTATTAAAGTTGAGGAATAGAAGGTTAAATTTAAAAATGTTTTCCCTAAGCTAATTTTCTATTATATATTTTCATATGAGCAAAGGAAGAAAAATGACAGATCTTCTATGATCACATACTCCAGTTTAGTTTTACTTGTTTATTCAGCTTCCAAAATTTTGAACACCCAATCTATTAATATTTTTTATTAAACATTTGTTTAAGAACCTTATCACTTGTGTTTCAGCAGATACCAAAGTAGCCCTTGTTTGTGTCAAACTAGATCATAGAAAATAAATAGAAGAGACAATGAAGCAAAAAAAAGAAAACCATTGTCTTTACATTGGTTTTTTCATTTACCAAAACAATTCTGATTTTTCCACAGTAAATAGAGTTTTTATTGTTTTTGTTAGTAAAATTACATAGCTGATTTTGTATGTAAAGGTCTAATTTCATTAATAAAATAAAAATTGTTACATGTTTACTGTAATCTTAATGAGCGGGGTTAAAAATGTTATTTAAAATAAAGTTGCCTATTAAATTTTATGCTACTTTGAAACTTCCATTATTTTAATTAATAAAATTAATTGATGTGTATGTTATATGTAATGTATTTATATTTGAATTCTTTTGAACATTATTAAAATATTTTTTTTACACAAAAATAGTTCTCATTGTCTTTCATTCCTGGAAAGTTTGCCATTTATGAGCCATTTCATCTTAATAATGTCCCAATTAGCTAGATTTCAGCAAATTTGTAGCTATATTTTTGTATCTGTTAATTCCTATTGTTGCAGTTACAATAGAGATATTAGAAAACATACTCAGGTATTCACATTCAGGTGTTCCATTTCCAGACCCTTATGTTTTTAAAAAGTCAAAGGAAATTCACTTCTAGCCATTAGAAAGATCCAGTGAAGAGTGGCATAATACCAAAGTCAGTATATTTTGAGAAAAGACCTTAATGCTAAGAACAATAAATGTAGCAATTACTTAACCTGAATGTTGAGCCTGAACGTTTTATTTTTTTGTTTTAGATTTAGAACACTCATATATATATATATATATGTATGTATATGTGTGTGTATATATATATATATTATTTTTAGCATATTATGGGGTTACAAGTGTTAAGGTTACATATATTGCCCATGCCCTCTTTCCCCCTCGAGTAAGAGCTTCAAGCGTGACCATCCCCCAAATGTTGCACATCTTACTCATGGTTGTATATACCCCTCACCTCCAACCCCCTCCCACCCTCCCGACACCCGATAAATGATACGATACTCCTGTATGTCCACTTAGGTGTTGATCCATTAATACCAATTTGCTGGTGAGTACATGTGATTGTTTTTCCATTCTTGAGATACTTCACTTAGTAGAATGGGTTCCAGCTGTATCCAGGAATAGACAAGAGGTGCTATATCACCATTGTTTCTTAAAGCTGAGTAGTACTCCATGGTATACATATACCAACATTTTATTAAATCCACTCATGAATTGATGGGCACTTGGGTTGTTTCCACAGCTTTGCAATTGTGCATTTGTGCTGCTATAAACATCGAGTGCAGGTGTCTTTTCATAAAGTGACCTTTGATCTTTTGGGTAGATGCCCAGTAGTGGAATTGCTGGATCAAATGGTAGACCTACTCGTATCGCTTTGAGGTGTCTCCATGTTGCTTTCCACAGAGGTTGAACTAGTTTGCAGTCCCACCAGCAGTGTAGGAGTGTTCCTCTCTCTCCACATCCATGCCAGCATTTATTGTTTGGTGACTTTTTGATAAAGGCCATTCTCACTGGAGTTAAGTGATATCTCATTGTAGTTTTGATTTGCATTTCCTTGATGATTAGAGATGTTGAACATTTTTTTCATATGTTTGTTAGCCATTATTCTGTCTTCTTTTGAGAAGTTTCTGTTCATGTCCTTTGCCCATTTTTTGATAGGGTTGTTTGATTTTTTCTTGCTGATTTTCCTGAATTCTAAATAGATTCTAGTTATCAGCCCTTTATCAGATGTGTAGCTTGCAAAAATTTTCTCCCATTCTGTGGGTTGTCTGTCTGCTCTCTTGACAGTTTCTTTGGCTGTGCAGAAGCTTTTTAATTTGATCAGGTCCCATTTGTTTATTTTTGTTGCTGCTGTGATTGCCTTTGGGGTCTTCTTCATAAATTCTTTGCCTAGGCCAATGTCTAGAAGGGTATTTCCAACATTTTCCTCTAGAATTCTAATAGTTTCACACTTAAGGTTCAAGTCTGTTACCCAGCATGAATTGATTTTTGTGAGAGGTGAAAGGTGTGAGTCTTGTTTCAGTCTTCTACATGTGGCTATCCGGTTTTCCCAGCACCACTTATTGAATAAGGATTCTTTTTCCCAGTGTATGTTTTTGTCTGCTTTGTCGAAGATTAGTTGGCTATATGAGGATGGTTTTATATCTGGGTTCTCTGTTCTGTTCCACTGGTCAATGTCCCTGTTCTTGTGCCGGTAAAAAGCTGTTTTAATGACTATAGTCTTGTAGTATAGTTTGAAGTCTGGTAAATTGATACCTCCTATTTTGTTTTATTGCCTAGGCAATAAAAACAAAATTGAATGATTTTGCTATACCGGGTCTTCTCTGGTTCCATACGAAGTGTAAAATTATTTTTTCTATATCTGTGAAAAATGATGATGGTATTTTGATAGGGATTGCGTTGACTCTGTAGGTCACTTTGGGTAGTATAGACATTTTAACAATGTTGATTCTACCAACCCAGGAGCGTGGTAGATTCTTCCATCTGTTTACATCCTCTGCTATTTCCTTCTTCAGTGTTTATCGTTCTCCCTGTAGAGGTCTTTTACAATCCTGAACTTTTTAGAGAATATGTTTTAGTCAGACCAAAAAGCACCAAGGATGCAGTCATGGTGCTGCAGTAATCTGGAGTATAGCACAGCCTATAGATTGAGAAGGGACAGTTCCTTCCTGCCTTAGAAGTGCCTCTTGACCCAGGGCCAAATGGGATTTTTTTTTATCAAGAAGTAACTTGTGGGAGTTTGAGGATGGGAGGTTTGCTTTCTTTCACTAAGACCCAATGAAGCCTTTACCTCAGTGTACATGGGAAATGAGATAAAAGACACATAAAACCCTGGGATGTACATTTTCCACATAAATCTGGGAGCACTATTAAGGTGGCTATTAAAATGACCTACAGATTCACAGGTTGATTTACCTTGAGGACCACACCAAGCAATCAAAAGACTAAATAGAAGTCAGAAGAGACTTCTTCCGAAGCATCTAAGGAAGAAACCCCAACTTTCAGGCTTTCAGAAAAAGTTACTCTATTTACATCACAAAAAAGAAAAAATAACTACTTTAAACATGTATTAAATGTTGGTAGGTTCCCAGTTTTGTATTATTTGTTTCCCCACACTTGCCCCTAATTGCTGTCTCTTAAGTGATTAAATAGTAAGACAACCTGGGTGTTTGTTTTGAGGGGCAAGGACAGAATTACATTGATAGCGTGATGGAAGAAAGGGAGAACAATGGTGAATTTACAGCCTTGGCCCAATTATTTCCTGCATCTTGTTTGACAGCTAACTACTAGGAATGCAAATGCAAATTTTTAAAATATGCCTTACTTTCAAGAAAATGGCAAGAATCAACAACGGTCCTGAAAACACGAACAGCCTCTAAAAGATTCAATTAACCAGGGAAATAAACTCATAGATTTGTCTTTCAGAAAGATCACTTTCATTCTAGAAAGCAATTTGACAATTTACAAAAATCCTTTAAAATGTACATATTATTTGTGAAATTAATGCCTTCCTTTTCTGAGAAGTAAAATGTGAACTAAACATGTTTACAAGTCCTTTTTTCCAGCCTCTAGTAGAAAGGAACATGGACAACGTCTTGCACAAGAATAAGACAATCTTCTTGGCTCTGTAATATTCAGAAACTAGTCCACCAAAGAAAAACTCTTTATCTGACTAGTCAAGCTAAGACAAAAATCCCAGAGATTGTCTCTTAGGTTTCTTGTTATTCAATTTACATTGAATAAAAGTGCTTTATCAAATGGTTTTCTACTGAGCCTATCTTTACTCATCTAGAATATAGTCTTTGTCCTAACTTTATTATATAAACTACAAGGTTGGGTAAGTGTTTGAAGGCATGAAACATGATTAGCACAGAAAATGCAGTTGTTTAACTAGTACCTAATAAATGTAAAGTAACTTAAAGTGAGTGTTCTAGATTTTTCTCCTTCCCTTTTTCCAAACTAAACTCAGTCCTTGTGATTCATATGTTATAAATGCTCAGTGTGCCTTTTGGTGTTGAAGGAAAGAGAGAGAAAAATATTCCATTATAACTTTAATTATATTGCAACCATTATTGACAACCACTTTAAAAATATTTTATTTATTTGGAAAACCACAATATATTAAGTAAAAAAGGATACAGAAGTATAATGGACATGCTACACCAAAATATGGCACCTTGACATTTGCAAAAACCACAGAAGCAGGAAGGTCACTCTCAGCTTCCCTTTGCCCTCCCCCCCCCCCAAGCAGGCCAAAGACCTTAGTTCAAGAGGTGAACTCCCTATACCTGGAGGAAAGGAACACAGAGAAAAATCTGAACAAACAGGCTTTGTGAAGTTCCCCCAGTTTATTATCATTAGATTAACTCACTTTATCCAATCATACTTCTCCATTACTATCCACTCTTCATCAAACTTAAGCATAAAATACACAAGTTTATCTGTTTCTTTGCATCTTCATTTTTGAAGGCTCACATATCATGTAAAACTTACTTTAAAAACATTTGTATGCTTTTCTCTTGTTAATTTGTCTTTTGTTATAGGGACCTCAGCCATGAATCCATGGATAGGAAAGAAAAATATTTCTCATCCCCTACAACTATATACAATGAGGTATTAGTTTTTCTATTAGATATAATTGTGTGTGTATGTATATATAAACATTTGCACAAACATAAATATTTCCTTATATAGCTAACATATGTATGACACATAAAATTCTAAAGAGGTTTGCAAAGATTTGGGTTGTGGCTAACTCTTAGATGGCAAGTTATTTTAAATTTTCTTTATATATTCCAATTCTTCAGATTTTCTGCAGGAAGCAAGTATTTTATAATTCAACAAACTGGTATTTTAAAAATAATATTGTTCTATATTTACATAGAGAAAGGATAGAAAGGGACAAGGCTGGGGCAGATGCCAATTGTTTTATGACTGATAAAATAATCTGAGCGAGAGGCACGAGACGTGGAATGCAGGGATGAGGACAAATTTGAGAGAGATCATTTAACAAAGTAGAACTTACAGAAGTTGGATAAAGATAGGGATGATGTAGAACAAATGAGGAAACAGAAGAGTCTAAAATAACAGGTGGACGGTTGTACAATGCCCTGAGGTAGGAAATAGAGCAAACTAACAGGTTTGGAATGGGGACAAGATGAAGACATTTATTTGGGATTCTTGAGTTTCAGACGCCTGGAAAGTTCTAGAGAAAGACGTCCAGTAGACAACAGAATACAGATCTAGAAGCTTGGAGAGTGATGTCAGATGAAAGTACACACTTGGGAGTCATGGTATGTAACTGTTAATTGTTTTGATAAGGAACATGACGGAGAGTGTACAAAGAAGCAGAATGAACAGAGGATGAGTCTCATGGAAGAGTGATGTGAGTGAAGGGAGAGGAGGCTGAGGATTCCAAGAGCAAAGGGAAAATCAGGAGAGGGTGACTTAGTGAACCTAAGACAAGAGAATTTCCAAAAGAAATAAGACATGGCCACAGGTGAGAAATTTTTGGTAAGATTAAAAGGCAGTGCTCTTGGTTGCTAGTGAAGTTCTTTATGGTCTTAATGAAGCTCTTTTGGAGGAATGGTTCAAGTGAAAGATTGCAATAAGTTGTGGAGGGAGAAGAAGGTCCAGAAGTTGACACTGTGTGTGTAGATCACCCTCTCTCTCAGGTTTTGTGAAAAAATGGCAGCATAAAGGTGACCTCCTGGCTCCCTGCTCCCAGAGAAAGAAGTGAAAAACTCAGACTGCTACACACAAGTGGATCATTCCCCTGCAAGAACAGCACTGTGAAACTGCAGGAAACAGCATGGGACACACAACACAGGAAAGAAAAGAAGGTGAATGGGACATAGGATCTTAAAGTCTGGAGAGTGCGAGATAAACAATAGAGAATAGAACTTGGGAAGGCTGTGCCCACCTGCCTGGCCAGCAAGTGCAGTGGGATCAGACCCACAGGAGAAAGTCCTGTTTCCCCACTGACCTCCCCACCCACTCAAGAAGCTGCCTGAAGTTGGTGCAAAATCCTGGCAGAAGACATTGGGCTCTGTGGAGAAGTGACGATAGCAAGAAGCATCTTAAACTCCCTGAAGCTCTGTGCTAAAACTGCACTGGGCCAGGAAGGGACTGGTCTGAGCCACCACTGTAGAGAGTTAGGAAACAGGCTCCTCACCTCAGGTGATCAGCGGGACCAGAACAACGGAGGTGAACACTGAAAAGGGACTCTGTCCTGGAAACTGTGGGTGATTAGGCCAGCTCAGGGCAGGTCAGAAAGAGCAAGACCTCCTGCTGGACAGGCACAAGATTGTGGGAGAGAGGCAGAAAAGAGACAACCGGGTATCCTGATGACTCAGCTCCCCCATCCAGCATCCGCCAACTCCTGAACAGTCGCCCCCAGTGCCAGCGCTCTGCAGGTGGGTGGCCGCCAATTTGGGAGTCCACAACCCAGAGGCTGTGAGGCACTACGGTTTCAGGCAACTCCCTTCCTCCAGCTCAGGGACTCTCACAACAGGCTTCGCACTTCCATGACCTATTGTCAGCTAACCAGGCCTGTTTTGTTGGGTGAATTTTGAGTGCTTTCCCAGTCATGGGAGGCTAACATCTGCAGGATTCCCAGGCCCTGGGGCACTGGGCGAACTTGGGCGTCACCCCTTCCCCTAGTGCAGCGACTCTCCTGCCAAAAGTGGTGGGCTCCACCCCTGGAGGTAGGGAGAGGCAAGAAAAGCCACTTTCCCTGTGCGACTGGCATGAATCTATGGGGCCTTGTGCAGATCAATAGTTGACAGCCCAGTGACTCAGCCTGTAAGACCAGCTTAGGTAATCCAGTAGGATCTTAACTCTGAGGCCTGATCTCCGCATCTGGGTGGCTGCCAACAGTGGAGTTTCGAGTCAGGGAAGAGAAAACCCTGGCCAGAGGCCACAGCAGGTGCACCAAGTAACCCCTCCCATCAGGAGCAGCCTCCCAAGTGTGGTGGAAAAACAATGAAAAACATATTAGCGGCTCCCCCTAGTGGCAGATCAAGCGATCATAGAAGCACACACATCCAGGCTGGTAGGCAGCAGCTGTGATCTGCCTTGCTCCTACCACCACTTTAAGGGGAAGCAGGGTCCAAGTAACCCTTGGGAGTGGCAAGATCCTTCCTAAAGATTGGGGCACTAGTATTCCTCACCTGGGCACCAGAAACTAACACAGAGACATCATATTACCTCAATAACTGGCTCCTCCACTTAATATACAACCAATGATAGAGAGGGTAACCCCACAGCTCAACACAGTGTCCTCCATCTCAAGCTCTAAGAGGACAGTGGGGTGATACACACAGGTGCGATTCACCACATGGGAGCTTAAGCTGGGGGACCAAACTCGCTAATATCCGCTGGCAAGAGGTGAAGACAGCAGGTCAGAGGTAATCCAAATTGCCAAAATACCTCTAAGGCAATACAAGACCAGCTGCCTCCTCCAACCACTGTTAAGGAATGTCCCTTGGAGGCTTGAAGTTAAGGGCACAAGCCAGTCCTAGCACTCCCAGTTCTCAATCAATTACCCCTATGAAAAAGAACCAGAGAAAGAACACAGGGAATATGAAAGAGCAAAGAGAAAAGTCACCCCCAAAAGAAATCATGAGACCCTCAAAATCGGATACTAATTTAAATGAAATGATTAAATTGACAGAGAAAGAATTCTAAATATGGATTGTAAGGAAACTCAATGGAATTGAAGAGAAAATAGAAACCCAACACAAAGAAACCATAAGAACAATACAGGAAAATGAATGAAAAATTCTCTAAAGAAATTGAAATATTATGAAAAAAAACAAACAGAAATCCTAGAAATGAAGGAGGCATTCAAGGAACTCCAAAACATAGTGGAAAGCCTTAAAAATAGAATGGTTCACTCACAGGAGAGAATCTCAGAGCTTGAAGATCATGCCTGTGTGTAGATTACCCTCTAGGGAAGCATGGGTGTGACAAAGAGGGTGACACCCATAACTAGATGGGAACTCAGACATTCTCGCATATCCAAGATGCTGCTTTTTGCCTATGAAAGGAAGAAAATACATGTAATGCCTATTTTGCAGTGGTGTCATGAGGTTTAAAATTTGTTACTAATGAAATGTACTTGTAGGCCGGGTGCAGTCACTCATGCCTGTAATCCTAGCACTCTGGGAGGCTGAAGTGGGAGAATCACAGAAGATCAGGAGTCTGAGACCAGCATGAGCAAGAGAGAGACCCCGTCTCTACTAAAAATAGAAAGAAATTAATTGGCCAACTAAAAATATATAGAAAAAATTAGCTAGGCATGGTAGCACATGCCTGTAGTCCCAGCTACCCAGGAGGCTGAGACAGTAGGATGGCTTGAGCCCAGGAGTTTGAGGTTGCTGTGAGCTAGGCTGACACCATGGCACTCTAGCTTGGGCAACACAGTGAGACTCTGTCTCAAAAAAAAAAAAAAACTTGTGTCGTTTCACTGAATCAATATTTGTTTTTCCTAATCACCATGTTTTCATTTTCATAATGTCTTCATCATTCAAGTCAGGTGAATAACAAAAGCATAGAGTTAATTGACTACATTTCTCTAGCTCAAGTTCTTTGATTATATATACCTGAGTTTGACCTTAGAAAGTATTAACTTATTATTCCTTTGGCACTTACAGCAAGGACAGTTTAAGTTGCTCTGGGAATAAATGGAGTTAAGGCAGAATATCTCTTCTCTCACCCCACCTTCCAAACTGAAGGAATGGCCTCAAATGGAGATTCTAGGAGAAAATGTCACTTGCTTTATGGATCAGAGTGACCCACTGAGAATTCCTGCTGTGGATTAGTTCAATACCCAAACATTACTTCAGATACAACTCTTGACATCTCCAGCTATTTTCATGTTTTGAATTGAAGATTTCAAAAGACCTGGTGAGTCTGTGCTTAAATGAAGTCATCCACCTTGGATGTGATGTAACAATTGCTGCCAGCTCATAAAGAAGCAGGCAAAAGCAGAAAAGGCTGAGTCCACACTGCAGGTGCAGAAAGCAGGGAACTACCTTGAGTTATTCTATTCAAATCCGAGGCTCAAAGTTCCCAAATTTCCCAAGAAGGCGTGATAGAGGCCACAACCCAAGAACTCTGCAGGTGAGAACATGGGGCTTCATCTCTTTCCAGATAGTTCAACAGAAAAAAGCTCAGCAGTTCAGCTATTTCTAACCTCAAAGGAGGGTTCTGATAAACCACTAGGAAACAAACAAAACCAAAAACAGATTAACCGTGAAAGCGGAAAATACATCATCCTTTTAGTAAATTGTTTTTCTAAATATGCCCTTAATGTAGCCTAGTCAGTGGAAATTTCTCAAGTGTGTATGTCTAGATGAATGCTGTGTATTTTAAACTTTTTGGAGCTTATCCAGATATTTCAAATACTAACTCTGGTAGGATTTCCCTTTAAGGATGTCCTGCAGAGAATTTGTTACTCATAATTTTAAGTAAAAATTGACAAGGACTGCTTTCTCAGCCCAGTAGGAGGCGGCTATGTGCAGGTCACAAGACTTGGAGGAAACGCAGGGACCCTCTTATTTTCTCCTACAAAGTTGAAAAAGCTGCAGTTAGGAGGAACCCTCAGATAACACTGCTGGCCCATTCTGTTCCTTTTGCAGTTGATACCATATGTATCCGAGGAAAACTAATCATCACATGTTCTCCTTTCATACTGTTTAAATCAAAGGAAGAAGCAGCTTTAAGAAAAAGTGAGTTCTCTCCCCTTAATGTTTTGTGTTTTATTTATGTGGCATTTTGGCTTCCTTAATTTTTCTTTTTAAGGATGAGAGTTTTTATAAACTTTCCAGTAAGTGCTTAAGAGAAAACTTTTGCTTGGCAATAGTATATACCTTAAACATTCTTGGCCATTTGAGCCAATGGTTATTATGTGCATGGAGTCATCATAACCAGATAACTATTTGAAATTGGCTCCTGAGTTTTCTTAATGGTCTTAATATGTGGGGTATAGCTTCATTGTTATAAAAAGGGGGAGAAGGGAGGGATTCTGGAATTTTGATTGGCTTAATTTATTTGAATGAATAACATTGTCATCAAGGATATTTTATGACTGAATTTATATTTCCAGAGCACCTTTTGAAGTCACTTACAAATTTTAAGTAAAAGGAGTTAATGATATTCGTGCTATTTTCAAGAAAAATCTGCGTACTTTTCAGAAACAGATATACAACAATTCATAATCTTAGGTTTCCTAAAATTGAATTAAAATGTCTGTATGTCCAGCCCATAGAGATATCTAATATACTACATCAATCTACAGTACTACTTCTTGTAACTGCTTGTTACTTAGGCAAAAAGCATGCATACCGTAGGTGTAAATACTTTCTCTCTCACTTTTTAGTCATACACTCTTTGGTGTCTGTCATCCATTTGAAAACCCAATGCAGGTCCTTAACTATCGTTTGGAACTTTAGAAATGTGAGAACTAAACAGAATTATTAATAAAATGTGTAGCTCTTATACATATAAGAAAATCCTTGAGCCATTTTAGCTATTATTTCATAGCCACCATACTGTTGTATAAATTCTAGTGTGAGCATAGTATATGGATTACAATTTCACACAAATGTTGCAAACATATGTATCATACAAAATATTTCTTAACATATGTGTTACGATATATGTGTAAAGCCCTAATCCAAATTGCTTTGTGTGGAAAGGTAAACTCTGATGTCTGTTTTCGATACTTGTTCTGTTTATTCCCACATATTCATTAGTTGCCAGTTCTGGGACTGTTCTACCTAAACAAGAGTAGCAGATTTGTGTTTTAACATCATATCACCTCACTGACAAATTTGCCTTTTAATTTTGTTATACTTGCTAACAACATTTTGACTAAAGTTGGATTAATTTGGGTTTATTAGGCAAGGCTAGAAACTGTTCTACTATATTAAAAATAAGTGTTTTGGATATTTTAGAAAAGCTTTAATTTGTTTTTCTGTTTTTATGCTTTCAATCTAGGGAACATGATCTCTTTGGAAATAAAAACTGAATACTTGTATTCACATGGGAAGTTTGAATCAGATGTCAATTAAACAAGCTTGCATTTCCATGTTCTTATAAGTATCTTTTTCCTCTCTGATTGTCATCATTTTTCTTGGTTACCCTTTGGTACCCTGGAAACTCTTGGGGGGAGGAGAACGAGGTGGAGGAGGAGGAGGAGAACCGCTTCTCATCAAAACAGCCCAAATCAGTGCAAAATAATCAGCTTGAGCATGTATCTATGTCTACATCACACTACTTTTGACAACACAGATCTCCTTAAGAAGCTAATAGGATCAATAGGCCCTCTTCTCAAAAAAATTAAAAACCCCAGTGAATACAATGGGGCAGGGGGAGAATGTCAAAGGCAAGCCAATTAAAAAAAAATTTGACATAGAATCTTCCCTGGAACTTCTTTTTAGATACCCAAGTGATTTATATGGTTTCTCTGCCCCGTCACTTTGGCCCTGGCTGAACAGCTGTCTTTGGCTGTCCCACAGTCATCTCAAACCTCATCGTTTCCCTCTCCTGTTCCCCACCCTACTTCCGCCAGGCGTACTCTTGTACAGTAAATGGCACCATCATCTAACCAGCTGCTCAAGCAGGAAACTGGCGATGATCTACCTCCTCCACCTCTCTCAGTTCACATACTCAATCTCCAAGTTCTGCCAGTGCTACCTCTTAAGGTCACCCACTTCCTTTGTCACTGCCACTGCCCCATTTCATGGTGCCATCTTCTTCCCCTCAGTTGGCAGTGACCCTATAACTGGTCTCACTGCCTCTAAGAATTGTCTTATTCCACTATACTTTCCATACCGAAGCAAGAGTGATTAGACCGAAACAGTTGGTTGAAAAACAAATTTAACTTTGCCCATCCCTTACTTCAAACCTTTCCCTGACTCTCCACTCACCTTACAATAATGTCCAGATTTCTTCTCAGGGAATTTCCTTTCAGAGAAGCAGTTGAGTATAGTGGATTAGAGCAAGTCTCAAACTTCAAGGTGCTCAGAACCATTTTGGGGTTTTTGTTAAAATGTAGATTCTAGTTCTGCAGGTCCAGGTTGGTGCCAGAGTTTTTATGTCTCTAACAAGCTCCCAGGTGATGGACCACACTGAGGAGCAAGGATCAGAATATGCTTTCTCATGCCAGACTGGCTGGAGCTCAAATCCCAGTATGCTGCTCACTAATTCTGTGATTTTAGAGAAGTCATTCAGCCTCTGTCTCATTTTCTTTTGTCTATAAAATGAAGATCATAATGGGACATCGTTTTCTTAGGTTTGATGTGAGAAATAAATATGTTGTATATTAAAATTACTTACAGCAATGCCTGGCACAGAGTGCTATTTAAATGCTAGATACATTATTGCAAGTCAAGGCTCTGAATAATTTAGCCTCTGCATTCTTTTCCAAATCAACTGATACACACATGCACACACACACACTATTGCTCAGCCACACTGAATGATCTTCAACCAAATAAGAACAGGACAAGTGCCTCTGTCTGTCAGGCCTCCTTAGGCACTTTTCTGCAAAGCACTCTGCATATAGACCTAACTCACCTCAACCACCTTCATCTTTCAGGTCTCAGCTCCGGCGCTGCATTCCCTGGGAAGTACTGACCAACCATCCACCTCCCAAGTCTATATTTGGTTCCTCTTTTGTGTTTCTTAAGCTACCAATGAACCCTGTTGGGCACACATTATAATCTCACTTATTTATCTGTATCTCCTAAAGACTAAATGCTCCATTAGAACAAGGAACTCTGGCAATTACCACTGAATTTCTAGCATCCTGCATATTCCTTTATAGGTAGCAGGTAAAAAATTAATGCATTTTATAGACACATTTCCAAAGACATATAAAATGAGAATTGACGATAGGGAAAAGAAAGCCTTTATCTGGTTGGAGAAAAGGGAAATGCTGTTTATAATAGGGTGATCTTCTCTCCAAATATTGCCTCTAGGTTGGATTGTGAACCCACTGGAAATATATGTATATGCACATATATACATATATATTTCCATATTTGTTCTAACCTAACATAGACATCATCATTTGTTCATTTAGCTAACACTAGGTTAGTGAAAGAGACTGAAATCAATGGGTATGGCACTTCAATGGCTATTCTCTGAGTCTAAGGCAGATTTCTTGTTCTAATCAGGATTTGTTTGTCTGTGTGAACGTTTAGACATATGGTGAGGATAAGGTGAATCCAAACCCATAAGAACTCCCTACTAGTTCACGTAAGATACTGGGCTATCCCAACAACAAGAAGTTTTAAATTCATTAAATAAATAAACGAAGCTAAGCTGTCTTTGTTGAGGTGATAAGCACTAGAGCTTCCAGTTGGCCACCTTGCTGATGTCTCTCTGACCAGGGATACTTTTGAAAGAGTACTAACTGTTCTCCTGATCAAGGTATCAAACTACCTACCTTTTTTTTTTTTTTGATGGAGCCAAATAGTCATAGATATATTTAATCATCCATTCATACATTCATTCATTTATTCATCAATTGATCAAGCCACTATAGATCTACAGAAAAATCAGTCAAGGTGTTCAATTTTCTTTCTACCACAAAACTCTACATTGTGCAAATGGACAACCCACAAGGCTCCTATGGACAAGGAGTTGTCTGGCATCAATTTTGACCAAATGCCTCTCAGTATAGAACAAACACAATGCTTCCAGTTTTATGTAAGATTTTTTTCTTCACATAAAGATCAACATTTCTTTAGTAAATTCATGGGTATAATTTGCATTTGGAAAAAAATAGCATCTGACACCAAACTGTCATGCTGTCTAAATTAAGATTTCATTTATAAAAATGATTTTCAGTTTTGTAATTATATTCAATCTATTCATTTGTTCTCTTGAAAATTGTGATAGTTATACTATTACAAAAGATTCTAATCTTTGATCTATACCATTCTCAAAAATTGAGCAATTATACTCTCTTTTGTTCAATATTTTCCTTACTTGTTCTTATTATCAAAGTGATGCATTACAGTGTACAATTTGAAAAATACTGAAAAGTAACATTTTAAACACTCTTTAACCTCTAATAAGAGGCTTAACATTTAAGCATATTTTTAAGCTTGTTTTCTACTTTTTAAAAATATGTAATTGACATCACACTGATTATTCTATTTCATACTTTTTTTTTACTTAAAGCAACATCATAAGCATTATTTTACCTTGCTGTTAAATACTTTTCCAAACACCATGTTAATGACTTCAAATATTCTTTTAAAAGTCATTTAGTAAATAATTATATATTCTTTTAAGCAGTATGTAGAAAGTCCTTTTCGAATTCTGATTAAACTTAAGCATACTTTAACAAATGTCCAGCAAAGTACAATTAAAACCACAAAATATACTTTGAAACGTGAGAATCAGGGGTCATCAAATTTCTTTTGTAAAGAGTGAGATAAATATTTTAGGCTTCAAAAAAAACTACTCAACTCTACTGTTGTAGCTGGAAAGCAGCTATAGACAGCCTGCCAATGAATGTGTGGCTGTGTTCTAATAAAACTTCATTTACAGACACTGAAATTTGAATTTCATACAATTTCATGTGTCTAAAATATTACTGATTTTTTTAAATCATTTAAAAGTGTGAAAGCTGTGCTCAGGTCTCAGGACACACAAAAACAGGTGGTGGCTACATTTGGCCCTTGAGTCCTATGTAGTTGCAAACCTCTGCATT